TAATAAAATGGATATGAATATATAACGAATGTATATATATATTCATTAAGTTTGTTAATTTGTTGTAGCAAGCATGGGGAAAGGACTGATGGTGTGGTTTCTCTTTAGTTTGCACTAGCAGTAACATCATGGAGTTGTGTATGTGTGGTTTTCTTATGCATTTACTTACATAAGACCATTTATATGCAAGTATGTAATGTATTTTGAGTGTGTGTGCACACACTCGTGTGTGTATATGTGTGGGTGTCTCATGAGCAACCTCTAAGCATTGTGTTTTAGTACCAAAACATAATTGCTACCAAAATCAGATTTCTTAACATTCCCTGAAAATTTGTGGTACTAATGAAAGACTATACTTCTTTTAGGTTGGTACAGTTTTTCTATCTTATTTTTGAGGACCCATCTAAGAAATACACATATTTGGCTTTTTAAATTAATTAATTCTTACAAAATCTGTGGTTTAGTTAAGTTTGGATTTCTTTTTGTTTCACACTTTGAAATCACATTGCATAATTTTGAATGTGTGTTTAAAAATTAATGTCATTTTTTTTAACATGGCATAGCAGTGAAAGTAGTTTTTAGAAGAGAAAATAGGTTCTCATATTTATTTGGACACTATAAAACAGCAAACTTAGGTAATATTTGTAGATATGAATCAATTGAATTGTTGAGATGGTCTTGCGTTTTTCTAAGAGAACTTGCTACTTTTCTGGGTTTTGTTTAATGTTTCAGAAGTTATTCATTCTTTGACATTTGATAAGTGACCGAGCAGGAAGCATATGTGGGAAGCACCACAAGGCTTGATTCATAAACTTGGTTGGGGCGTGGTTTTAAAGAGTAGTGCTTGAGTTTTGTATCACACCAGTGTAGCCTGCTTTTGATAGAAAAACTGTACCAACCTAAAAGAAGTATAGTATCACAAATTTTCAGGGAATGTTAAGAAATCTGATTTTGGTAGCAATTATGTTTTGGTACTAAAACACAATGCTTAGAGGTTGCTCATGAGATACTCACACATATACACACATGAGTGTGTGCACACACACTCAAAAGCAGTTGTATCAGGAAACAAAATTTGGGATACCAAATTTGACAGACAAAATTCTAAAGTAGTTATGAAATCAGTAGGTTATTTGATTAGAAAAAAATTACAGTTTTAATTGTATAAATTATAGAAAACTCATAGTTTTAGTTTTTAACTGAAGTTTTTGAGTTGTCCTTTGGTATTTAGCAATAATTAAATCAAGTTAAAAGAACCCCCCCAATGATGTAAATACATAGGAAAGTAATTTTTTGCTTAAGTTTTTGTTTTATGGAATAAGTAACACATATTTTATCTTCCTCCTTACATGTAGGCAGAACTGTAGTATTAGACACCCAATTCATATAAAAAGATAAAAAGAATACTTCATTTTTCCAGTTATAAAAATAATGCATCTTTATGGAGGCAGTTTTAGAATGTACTGCAAAAATGTAAAAATCATTATCCATAAAATATCTAAGAAGCCATCATATGATGCAACTTTGTTTTTATGCTTAGTTGCCAGTATAAGTACAATGGGCATGCATTTTTTTCTAGCTTTACTTTAATTATTTCAGTGAATATAAAACTTAGGGCGCCTCTCTGTTTATTTCCCAAAATGAAATTATTGGGTTAAAGGATCTGTATATTTTCAGACTATTTATTTATCTCAATTTCCTCCTCCTTTTTAAAAGTCAGAGTCTGGTGTAGCCCAAGCTAGCCTTGAACTTACTATGTAGCTGAGGGAGAATTCCTTTTATACTTCTAATCTTCTTCCTTCACTTCCTGAGTACTAGAATTACAAACATGCATTATCATGCCTGGATTATTTGGTGTATCATCAAACCAGGGCTTCATGCTTCATAGGCAAGCACTCTACCAACTCAGCCACAAGTTTTCCCTTAAGTAAGAAGAGCAAATTCCTGGCTGGGTAACTCAGTTACTAGAGCAGTTAGTGAGTAAGCAGTAAGCCAGAGCTGGAGGCAGCTGGTCACATGGAATCCACAGTCAGGAAATAGAGGAAGAAAGCTCTTTTGCTCAACTCCCTTTTTACTTTGTGTACAATCCAGGACCCCAGCCCAGGGGATGGTGCTGCTCACATCATAGTGGGTCTTGGGGTCTCAGTTACTGGAATCTAGAGAGTCCCTCACAGGTACATCCAGACACATCTGGGCTTACTGCCTAGGTGAGCCTCCATCCTGTGGACAATGAGTGCTAACTATCGGGGCATATGACTTTCTTCTGTCCTTCTGACACTTTCTCATTTGGATTATTGTTAAGAAGATCATGCTGGCTTTGTAGAATCATTTTGTAATATCCTTGAAGTTCTTTGGGAGAGTTTGAGGAGAAAAGGTGTTAACTTATTCAAGGTTTGATAGAACCAGTGAGGCCAATTTGGTTGCTTTTCTTTGTGAGTAGGTTTTGATTATTAGGTCAGTATATGTATCTGTTCACATTCCATTAATGTTTAAGTCTTGATAGGGTGTATGTGTGTAGGGATTTATTTAGTTTTTTGTTTGTCTAGTTTTGCTGTTGTTAGAGTAATGTCTTACAGTCCTGTGTCTGTGGTTTCAATTGAATTGTCCTATTTCTGATTTGATCTATCTGAATCTACTTAATAGAATTGCATCAGTTCATTTGATATATTTTAAAATGGGGCTGGGTCTTATTTCTGATTGATGTTTATTTCCTTCCTTCTGCAGACTACCCACTTGTGTTTTTCTTTCTGGTTCATTGAAGTTTCTTAATTTTCCTTTTTCAGAACTATATGTTGGACCCAAGGCTGTGAAAGTATCATGCATATGCCCATTGCAGAGCTGCACTATAGGTGTGGCAGTTTTTATTGTGGGTATTTAAATACTGCTCTAAAAAGGCTATACCCATGCATTTTTTTGTTTTTTTGTCTCGGGATATTTGATAATTTCCCTCTTGATTTAGTCTTTAGGTCTTTGGTTTTCTAATAGTGTGTTACCAAATTTGTGTGTTTGTAAGTTTCTGTTTTTATTCTACTGTGGTTAGAAAACTTGGTACTTCAAACTTGAAATTTGTTAAAAAGTATTTTATGATCTGACATGTGACCTGTCCTACAGATTTTCTCAGTGTATTTGAGAAGAGTGTACATTCTGTGGCTGTTGTATGAAATATTCTTTGTATGTGTTTGGTCTATAATGTAAGTCTGCTTTTACTTTTCAGTGGGATGGTCTGTCCATTATCTAAATCTATTGTTTTATTTCCCTTCACTCTGCTTATATTTGGATGTTTTGTTTTGGGGGATATACATTTGTAATTGCTGTAACTTTTGAGTAAAGTGAAACTTTTATTTTATATATAATATAAATACACACACACGCATGACAGCTTTTTACTTAAAGTCTGTTTTGTGTAGTGCAAGTATGGCCACATAAGTCCTGACCTATGTGGAATATTTCTGTCTTTTTTGTTCTAGCTTATGTGTACTTAAATTTAAAATGTGTCTTAAGATACTGTATGGTTGGGTCTTATTTTGAGTTCATTCAGCTACTCTCTGTCTCTCACTTTAGGACATAATTGTCTAGATTAGTGTGATCCTTTGTTTTCCAGCTCACTAGCTCTTTTCATCTCTTGCTAGTTTCCTCTGTGTTTATTATGTTCCATTCACATTATTGCCCTTTACTGTTCTCACTTTTCTTTTTGTGTATCCGTAGAGATGCCTGTTAATTGTCATGGATGTTACATACAATGTGACAGTCTCTTTAAGCTAAAAACTTTAACTGCATGCAGAAATTCAAGCTGTTTTCTCTTCCCCCTGCTTTTTTACTGATGTCACACCTTACATTTATTTATATTGTTTACTCATTAGGATCCTTATGTAGTTTTTAAAAATATCTGTGGTTCAATTTCTGTAGAGAATTAAGTGACTTGTCTTGCTTATAATTTTTGTTTTTATCCCTTTATTAAGAAGATTTTTTTCATACAATAGATTCTAAATCTTATTTCCCTCTCAGCTCCTCTGAGGTTCTCCATACCTTCCTTCCTATCGGAATCCATAGCCTTTCTACTCACATGCTTCATCATCACCATCATCAAAGGCCAAAACAAACAGAAGAAAAATAGCCAAAGCAAAAGTACAACATACACTTGAAGATGCAGAGACACACGTTTGTACACACAAGAATTCCCTACAAACACAAAACCAGAAGGCATAATATCAAAGGGCCTGTAACAGTTAAAAAAAAAATGCCTTGTCAAAACCTTATGAGACAGAGAACCTTCAAAATGCCATTGAGTTCATTCTGTATTGGCCTGCCCTTAAGTGTGGTTTGAATGCCCAGGCTCCATTGGAGAGAGCTGATTTTTCATTTTCAAGTGGTTAGCAACTGACTTCTGGGTTAGGGATGGGGGCTTATGTCCATTTCTTCTCCAAGATCTGGGACCCCATCTGGTGAAGATTGTGCAGGCCCTAGGCATGCTTCTGTGAGATCATATCTCCATCGGCCATTGTCTCTTTGGTGTCCTCCATTCCCTCTGGTGCTTGTACTCTTTCTACCTCCTCTTCCCCAGAGTTCCCTGAGCCTTGAGGGAAGGGATTTGATGGAGACATCCCATTTAGGACTGAGTGTTTGAAGATCTTTCTCTTTCTCCTCATGTTGTCTACCTGTGGGTCTCTGTATTTCTTTTTGTCTACTGCAGGAGGAAGCTTCTCTGATGATATCTAAGCAAAGACACTGATCTATGAGTATAGCAGAATGTTGTTAGAAGTCATTTTATGGATATGTTCCTTTAGCAGAACAGTAGTATTTGCTTTTTCCCTAGATTCCTGGCCTCATTTGTAGTTTTAAAAACTATTTTCTTTGAATGAAATCATTTTAATATAATTTTTATTGATCATTTTTATAACAAAGTTCTAAATCTTCTTTTCAGGAATTAGTTAAAATGTTTTCTGTGTCAAAATTGTATATAAGTTGGATAAATTTAAGATTTCTTTCTTGTTTAAATACAGTTCTGATGGTCAGTCATACAAAGGAAAGCCTTGAGCCACTGGGTTTTGAAGAATCCCTTCTAAAGATCTAAAAAGTACAAAAGGTAAAGGCATCTATAATGTTCCATTGTATGTATTTTTTCCCAGAAAAAAAACATTGTGTGAAAGAACTTGAAATCACTTGGCATACTTATTTGAGGAAAGCATTATTAAAAAAAAAATAAAAATTAAAAAATAAAACAAAAAAATTAAGTCCAACTCAGAATATTTACCATACAGTAGTTACTGTTTATATATTACATTAATTAATGATTACATGATGATTAATAAGACTGAAGCTATCCCAGTCTCATGAAGATTGCATTTTAAAGGAAGACAAGCAGTAAACAAAACAATTAGTACTACCAATGGGTGATAGAGATTGGGTGTTGGCTTTCATAAGGTTAGTCAGAGAAGGCTGTGTTGAAAAGTCAGTTTAGTTGTGAGTGAAATGGCAGGTGCTAAGCCATGTGTGACTCTGAAAGAGAAAAGAAGCTACATTAGCAGTGGGAACAAAAATGACTGGGTGCTTGAAGAACAGAATATAAATGTGGCTGGAATATGCCCTAGGTACTATAGAGCATACGTGAAGATCAGCTTGCAAAAGAAAATGAGGAGTAAAGCAGATGACTGGAAAACAGTCAGGTGCTCTGATTAAACTCTATTATATTTTGGATACCTTGGAAACCTGTAGAAGAGTATGGCAGCTGGGGAGACAGCTTACATGGCATAGTGCTGGCTATGCAATCATGAGAACCCTAGCTCTCACATAAGAAAAGCTGTGTGGCATTGTCTACCTGTAACCTCAGCACTAAGGTGTGTTCCCAGAACTCCTTGGCCAGATTGATGAGCTTCAGGTCAAAGAACCATAGAAGAAAACATATGGTGTCATCCTCTGGTTTACACATAGGCACAGCCTGCAGACATGCATATACATTACATAATATACATACACACATACCAGATATGGTGGCACATAGCTGTTTGGGAGGCAGGGAGAAGATCCAAAATTTGAGGCCAGCCTGGGCCGTATGCTACCCTGTCACCAGAGAAAGAGAGAAAGGGCAGTCTGTATTTAATGCTTGGAAGTTGAAATTCTGGTTTAGGAGTTACTGGCATAAAGAAGTACTTAAAAGTGTGCATTCAGTTATCTAGGAAGTGTATGTAGTCAGCCTTAGTTACAGACTAATATTTATCATAGGAGATTATGGTCATCAAATAGAAAAGCTGGAAAATGTTCTGCAAGAGAAGAAATTAGATTAGTACAGAAAGGATAGCCTATGTCACATCCACCAAGTAGTCTAGGGAACCAGGGAATCGGCCCCTGCTTATAGCAGTGCACTGTTTATGCTGACAGGTAAGCAGTCAGTGGAGGTTACAGGATTGCAGCAGTCAGAGATGAGATAGTGAGGACGTCTGCGGTGAGACAGCAAACACTGCAGCTGAATTTCAGTCTTGAAATCTCCTTATAGCTGGTGTGTTACCTCCCCAGTGACTGTGGTGCAGTGCCCAGCATAAGCTACTTTAAGGTAGACTTCTGGATTATTGTTTTGGATTCTGGGTTCAGTAGACCATGGTTATTTGCTTTTGTTCTAGGTTCAATGTGAAGTTGATGATTAAGGCAACAAGAACATGAAGCAGAGGAGGTGGCAAGATACAAGACGAGGCCACCATTTACCTACCTCTCTTCTCACTAGGCCTCATCTACCTTTTACCACCTCTCAGTAATGCTTTCATGTCATGAATCAGTCAAAGGATCAAGTCTGTTTATTATGTCAGAACGCTTAGGATTAATTTGACTGTGGAACACTCAGATTTGTTTAATCTCTTAAATTAATGGCTCTAAACCTGTGGGTTACAGCCCCTTTGGGGTTCAAATGGGGGGGTCACCTAAGACCATCAGAAAACACAGCTATTTACATTATGATTCATAACAGTACAAAATTATAGTTAAGAAGTAGCAAAATAGTTTTTATGGTTGGAGTCACTACAGCATGAAGAACTGTACTAAAAGGTCACAGCATTAGGAAGGTTGAGAATTACTGTCTTAGATGTTTCTTAATCCAATAAAGTGGGCCAAGATTAACCAGTCACAGTTAAATAAAGAAAAATAAGTTTTGCATCTGACCCAACTTCATAAGGACATAGAGAATGGGAGAAAAAAAAATTGGACCTTGAAAAGCAAAAGGAAGTGTGTTAAGTTTCTTAAGCTAGCAGTGGCAGGTCTGAGAAACTTCATGCCACCACAGAGCCTCTGAAATTGTCATGAATTGAGAGCACTCCTATTTCTGGAAATGGAAATAATGCTGGTACTAAAACAGAGTAATGTGTTACAAATACACTTAAGAGATTTCTTCTTTCTGACTCTGAAGCTGCTGCAGTTGCTCCTGATGGTCACGGAAGTCTGGCTATTTAGCAAGTGTAAAATAAGTAAGAGCTGCTGAATGGAAGGCTTGGAAAGTAAAAGCAATGTGTTAAAAGTAGAGAGGAAAGTAAAAATTAGATAAACTGATTTGAAACTGTCCTCCACATTCGAGTAAGATTTCCAGGAAAATCAAGGAAACAAAGGGGGAAAACAATAGAGAATGATTTAAGAACCCTTGCTTGAATGAGAGGGTATAAGTTAGAGCCTACAGAATGACTGATACAGGTAGAAAAATAAATGGAAAATGAAATACATTACCATTAAATTTTAGAACAGAGAGATGCTTCCAGCATGAAAGAAGTCAGTCACGGAAGAAAGGATTAATAATCAGAGTGGCATTGAACTCCTGTTACCATCTCTCTTTTGGCAAGCAAAAATTAAGTAAATAAAAAATGGTGACATCGTGATGTGTTGGTCAGCTTTCAGTTACCCTGACAAAACACCCAAGATAAACACTTTTTAAAAGGAGGAAAGGATTAGCTTAGCTCATAGGTCTAGGGGCTTCAGTTTCTAGCCACTTGATGTCACTGCTTATGGTGGACCTGGACACACTAGGTAAAGCTGCTCACCTCGTGGTACCCAGGAAGAATACTAGGGTGCTGATAACCTACTTTCTCCAATATTTCACCTTTTGACATTCCTACAACTTCTCAGTAGCCCTGTTAGCTGGGAACTAAGCCTTCATCACATGATTTGGTTGCAGGGCATCATTTGAGATCCAACTATGTCACCTAGGGTAGAGAAAACAGAGTAATTAGAGACCTAGAGAAGCATCAGAATAATAGTACGTGCTGATCCCAAGATAACAGCACTATTATTGGGTGTACATAACAGATGTCATGGAAACAGATTAGAAAGTTCTGGGGGGAACAGTTGGAAAATGGTAGTATGTTTACTGTATATGAAGATAAGATACAGAAAGTGTATTTAGATAGTTGTGATTTTGTAGTAAATCATAAGTAAGTACGTTCAAAACTAGATAAACTATAGAGAAAAACTAGACAGTAGTTATTTTTCTGCTGTGAGAGTTAGAGTCCATGATGGCTGTAGGAAAAGGAGAGAGCTCCCATCTACACAGTCAGGAGACAGCACACTGGGAATGGCAGGAAGCTTTTAAGACACAAAGTGTAACCCTTTGGTAACTTCCTCTAAGGCCACATCTCATCCTTCCCAAATAGTTGTACCAACTGGAGACAAGTATTCAAATGTGGGAACCAGTGGTAGACAATCTCTTTTAACCACTGCAGCAACTAACCACAGGAAAAACTATTCAGAGAGGGAAATTAAATATATGCTAGAGGGCTGAGGCTTATCTGTGAATTGCACTTACAGTTATAAAAATGTGAACTTAGAATTACAATATCAGGAAGTTGGGAGGAAGTATATATTTATGATGTCAAAAAGGAAAAAATCCTCAGGGTTGAAAGATTGCTCAGCAATTGTCTGTTAGGGTTTCCATTGCTGTGATTAAAAACATGAGCAAAAGCAACTGGGAGAGAAAAGGATTTACTTGAGCTTACAGTTCTATATCACAGTCCGTCATGGAGGGAAGTCAAGGCAGGAACTGAAGCAGAGGCTAAAGAGGAGTGCTGCCTTCTGGTTTGTTCCTCATGGCTTGCTCAGCCTGCTTTCTTATACACCACAGGACCATGTGCCCAAGGGTGGCATCAGCTGAGCCATCCCAAATCAATCACTAATTAAGAAAATACCCCTGTAGGCTCACGTACAGACCAGTCTTATAGTGGCATTTTCTCAGTTATGGTTCCCTGTCTAGTTGACCAAAGAAAACAAAAACTAAAACTAGCCAGGAAAGTAATTAAGACAATTGCCTGCTTGTCCAGAGGATCCAGGTTCAGTACCCAGCTTTGATTGGTGACTTACTTTTCCTCATGGCCTCTGAGGACACTTTGTTTGTGTGGTGCACAAATATGCAAGCAGGCAAAACACCCATACACATAAAAATAAGTGAATTAAAGTTTAAAAATCTTCCTGCTCCCTAAAAACAATTTCTCTCAGTAGAATTAAGTAAAATATGCCTAAAAATGTAGCCATTTTTGAGAGCTGAAGAGGCTAGTTTAAACACATTGGGACAATCGGTAAATTATGACTGTCTGTACACTCTATTTGAAAATGAAATAATCAAAAGTAACAAAAGATGTTCACAGAAGCAGAGCTTGTTACTGAAAGGAAGAGGCAATAGGGTCAGAGAACAAAGGACTTTTGATTTTGTAGTAAGTTTCCTAAAACCACTCAAATGTATAAATTTCATACATATGTGTACATGTGGAAAAAAAACTAAATTGTAAAATAAAAGAATGGAAATAAGGGCATTGATATCACAATTGTTTTCCTGGAGAAAGAAGAGAAGAAAAAAGGTTGGCGGATTGGAGAAGTGCAATTTTATTTTATTGGTCTTCTTAAGCTAAGAAATACTAATTAATGAATAGTGTTAATATTGATCAGTGACAACATTTGGAAAGAAAAGCCTGTGATGGTTGACAGCAGATGGGATTCAGAAAGACAGTAGTGTAATGCCATTAATAACACACTGCACAGTTTATTTTTAAAACAGAATCCTTTTCATGTGAAGGATTCTCTTCCAAAGATACACTGCCAGACACTGGGATCATCCCTAATTGTGTACATCGCTGTGTGCCAAGTAGTTGTTGTTTCTGTGTTTACCACATTTAAATTGTTCATAGACTTTTTTTTTTTTTTTTTTTTTTTTTTTGGTGTAATGCTGTGTGCCCAGCCCCTGGTAACCTTGCATTTAAAGCTGGTTTTAAAGTAGTGTTTACACACCAGTACTTGTGCCCTCAGTACCCTGCTATCATGAAATAGTAATGTGATACATGCTCATCTGCTAAATCTGTGACTTGGAGTTCAAGGGGCTTATGTAAAGGAACATTTAATTACTAACTTTAACTTGATCCTTTTACATTTTGGTGAACTGTGCGTTTAAGTAATTGCAACTGGTCCCTTTAAAGACACATTGCCTGTCATTCTGGTCTGTTAATGTCAGTACTTTATAAAAACAAATAAGCATTATTCTATATGAGTATACTGTATACCTGGAGTTCTTCTTGAGCTTGTGTAGGGAGATGGTATGGTGTCTGAAATGGAGACTTTCTGATGAGCAAGTGTGAATAGAGATGGTCATTAGAAGCTATTAGAAGCTTGGGTTATTAGGTGTTTGGTGTGTTTCTTTATTACCACATTATTTTGTTACTTTGATACTCTTTAGAAAGGTTTTCTCTAGAGGTATTTAATCTGACTCATTTTTCTCCCTTTATTCTTCTCTTAAATAATACATCTATCCCTTGGCTGGAAAAGTAGACTAAAGAGTGTGAGCTACCCTGTGAGCAAGTGTAGTCCAAGTTGAGTATGTAACTGTGAACGTAGTCTTAAGCTGAGTAAATTTTTTTGAAAATTATCGTTGACAGTGGTAGAGAATAGCTTAATAATTTGGTTGGTTGTCTAGGCTGTTTTTGATTCATACATTTTATGTGTAGTCTGCTTCTCTGACTTGAGTAGTCAAAGCAGTCAGCGAGGCTCTTGTGGAGATGTGGCTTCTCAGACAACTGTGCTTCCTCCTTGTACCATCTTTTCAGTAACAAATCTTGACCCAGGACAAGACTTGTTGCCCCAGGCTTCCCTCTGTAATTCTCACAGACACACTTGATTGCTTCTTGTCTAGGTGATCCACTGAACAATATATACTGAATATTAAAAATGACATTTCTGTTACTTTAGAGAAATACATTAATTATGAATTTGAATTTTTCCATATTCCCTTTACAAGAAAAAAGCCTCAAATATTCCCCACCCAAAGATAATTTGCTTGAAAGGAATGCACCAGCTTCGTTTGAATTTTGCACAGTAACTGCAGTATTCTCAAGATTACTTTGTATAAGTGTTTTAGAACACGAATAACCATTTCTTTTTTCTTTTCTCCCAAGGAGAAGTACAAATGTCTACCACAAGACGAAAACGTAATGTGTTATGTTGTTTACCGTAAGCTGTAGTACAATGAGCTCAATTGTTGACAGGTATGTTTTAAAGTCACTGTTAGAGTAATGCTCTGTATCAGCTTGATAGGTGTGTTATGCTTAAACATGATTGCCATTATATTCAATTTCTACATGGAACAAGTGGGGATACATTAGTAGTTTTAAAAGCCAAAGTGAATAGCTTAGGGCTTATGTTACAAATGAGTATTTATTCTTAATTTTGGGAGTTTTAGTCAACTGTTCTGTTCTGAAAGAAACAGTAATGTTTGTGAATATTCCCTGGCCCCTTTTAGACTTTGAGTGGAGTTTATTGGTGCTTCCTCTATCTCTGCAAGCATCTTAGCTCTTGTGTCTGGTAATACATAACTGTAATTAGGATCGGTAGTTTTAATCTTTATATATGAGTCTTGGGGGAAAGATAAACTTGCTTATCTGTAAAATCTTTTTTTTTTTTTTTTTTTTTTTTTTTGCGGGGGTGGGGGTTCTGGGTGTCAACAACCAAGGCCTAAAGTATACTAGTCAGGTGCTTTACCACTGGACTTCTTCTCCAGCCTTGTTTCTAAGACTCTCAAGGCTCTTTTGTTATAGTTGTTTTCATTTTCACACCTCTAACATTTGATGGGTCTTAAAATTCACTTCTCAGATTTTATTTGGTAGCTTTTTCCTTCCCTCCCTCCCTCTCTCCCTCCTTCCTTCCCTTCTTTCTTCCTTGTCTATTCATGATGAATAGTGTCTAGAGCTGGTGAACAGAATCTTTCATATTCATTGAATTGCTTAGATCCTTGGGATTTTATAGATAATAGGTCAGAGATTTAGCCAGCTTGTTTAATTATGGTTACATATAATTGACTTTATGATGATTCCAGTTCTTTAAAGATTTTGCAAATAGAGTTGTACACAGAGTGACTGTTGATATCTGAAGGCAGGTTTTCTTTTTTGAACTAAAAAATAAAGATACATCTTGTATCAGAGCATAAGACTTAAGGACAAGGAATGTCCTTAGAGAGGTTTGCCTTCATTATGTCCGTAGCTTTGGATTATAGGTATAGTCTCCTTGAAAACACACGCCAGTCATCTAAAAGGATTGCAGATGAGTGGTTGTCCAATTCTTTTTCTACTCCTCAGGACATTTGGGATGACATCTGTGTGTTTAGAGATAAAGTAGTGATTATTAATATGGATTCCTTATATCTGAATATTGTAAAATTTATAGACTTTCTCATTAGAAAAATGTATATAAATGTAGGAGTTTTAAAATAAGTTTCTAGGCATAAATGGAGTTCTTCAAGTCTGTTCTTGAGCCTCCATGAAGCACAATTTGCAACTAATCTCAAAGTGAGGCTAATAGACACCTCAAAGGCTGTTGATCTTCACAGGTACAGCAGGATTTCACTAGATGGTGTGACTGAGGAATTCAGGTCAAAGCTTCACCAACCACCAGAAACGATATCACTCCTTAGTTTTAAGAGTCAACTTCTAGTGTTCTTGATGTAACTTGTTAGACTTTGCCCCAGATCTCAAGCTGTCCCCATTTTGCTACTTAAATCCTTACTCAATTTAGACCAATTCTGCAAGCCCTTCCCTAAAGCAGCCACCCAGGATTTTCTATTACCATGATAAAACACCATGACCAAGGCATCTTATAAGCATTTAATTTGGGGGCTCACAGTTCCAGAGGGTAGTAGAGACCATAACTATCACAACAGGGAGCATAACAATAGGTGGGCAGGCATCTCACTGGAACACTAGCTGAAAGCTTCCATGTTAAAACAACCACCATGGAGGTTGGGGAGAGAAAAGAATGGCGTGGGCTTTTCAAAGCTCAGCGCCCACCCCCAGGGATTTACATCCTCTAAAATGACCACACCTCCTAATCTTTACCAAGCAATTCTACCATCTGAAGACATTTCATGTGTTTATCTTTCTACTAGAAGATAAACTAGAAGAGAATAGCTGTTAGAGTCCTGATAACTGTTCATCCAGGATACAACCTGATACCCAAGTACTAATCTGTTAAATGGGTCAGAAATATTAAGTTTATGGGTTATTGTGACGTTTATGAATAGTGGTGTTTTTAAAGTGACTATCTCAAAAGGTTTTTAAGCTATGATATTATAGTTAATATAATCTCAGATGGGTAGTTTAACACTGACATAATTTCATACTGGCATTTGATAGGTTTCCAGTGAGTAGTAAAACCTTGAAATAGGATATTTAAACTAGATAAATTAGGAAACAGGTCAGTGTGAGTGCACGCACCTGTGCTTTGATGGTGCTGCTTACTGAGTTCCCCTTACTCGGCCTTTTCACTTTGTTTTCTTTTGTAGAGATGACAGTAGTATTTTTGATGGATTGGTGGAAGAAGATGACAAGGACAAAGCAAAAAGGTAGTTAGTTATGAAATAGAAAATAGTAACTAAATGTATAATAACCTACATGTATTTAATATATTAGCAAAGTAGAAAAGCTTAGACTATCAGTATGCAGTTTATAAATTATTTCCTGACCTTTTGAAAAGTAAGATCAATATAATTTGTCATGTCCTAATTGAACATTGTATGTATTAAATTGTTTGTGTAATTAAAATAGATTGCTTAAAAACTACATATTTAATTTCTTTTTTCATAGAGTATCTAGAAACAAATCTGAAAAGAAACGTAGAGATCAGTTCAATGTTCTCATTAAAGAGCTGGGATCTATGCTTCCTGGTAACGCTAGAAAAATGGACAAGTCCACGGTTCTGCAGAAGAGCATTGACTTTTTACGCAAACATAAAGGTAAACTACTGACTTTGTAAAATGGGTATGGTTTTTATAGCAGACTCCCTTAGGACATGAGTTATATCATGTTTAAGATTTTAAAAAAGATTCCTGTATGTTCTTTCTTTCATTCAACAAGCATTTAATGGTTTCTATATTCTAGGTCCTTATGAAGTTAGTATGACTGTGTTGATTCTCAACTTAAGACAAGGCACAAAAATGTGTAAACACATAATTAAAATTCAAATGAATAGTTTTTGTAAACTGTAAGCTTGGGAAGCAGATTTTGTCATGATTTTCATGATTTTTTTAACCATATAGGAAAGAATGTTTTAAGGTATACAAAAAGGTAATTTTTTTTTTTAAAAAACTAAATCTTTTAGGTTAAGTAAGTGAGTGTGTTTTACACAAAGGAGATACTATGTGCAAAAGTGGATAAAGAGGTTTGAATGTCACTGAGCATGTTTGTGTTGGAAGGCTGTTGGTGTACCTAAGGTCACATAAGGCTGTTCCAGGCTGTGTTAAAAGGTCAGTTCACTGTATATCTAGGAAATAAAATAATACACCTAAAAATATTTGCTTATAGCAGAAAATCACCTTGACTAAATCAGTTATGGAGAAAAAAAATCTTTTAAGTTGTTTGATATTTAGGTAGTGGAGATATTAAACTGTGTAAAAACTAGAAAAGGTTATTTGCTTTTTCAGATGAAGTAAAAACTTGTAGAACTTCTTAGGAAAAGAGATGCTAACTACTACCTCTGTTTCATTTTCTTTACTGCCCTTTGTAATTCATTGCAAGACTGGTTTGTGCGCCACTACTCTCTGAAATATTTTTATTAGTGACATCACCTACCCATCCCCAGTACAGCAAACCTTTTCTCTTCTTCTTTACTCTGTAGAGTTAGAACTGGTGATCTTGATCTGCCCGCTACTGACTTTGTTCTCCCATGGCTTCCATGCTCTGTTGCTGCTCCCCTTCCTGTCTGGCCCTCTCTCCTCTTCCCTTCTCTGCTCTCTAAATGGGGTATTTCTCAAGGCTTAGCCTTGTGTTCTTACTTTCTCAACCTTCTTTCCTGTGGACAGCTCATGGTATAACTGTAGCTGCTGTGCATCTGTATTAAGTTACTAATGAGTCTTTGTTTTCAGATGCAGAATTTTCATCCATATTCTAGCTGACTTAGGTCCCATTTTCCATGTCTCCAAACTCAGTTCCTCTTAAAGGGAATTCATTTTCATTTTGTTAGGTCAGTTTCTCCTAAACTGGCTTTTTCCATTTTTATAACATTTTATTAAGTTTCCAGGGCTCAAACATGTTTTCATTTATCTTAGCATCATATTACACATGGCACATTCTCTTCTGAGTCTTTTGTAAATGTGTCAGTCACTTAACATTGAGCCTCTTTGTAAATAGTGTCCTTGCTGACTTGAGCTCACTCAGAAATCAGTCCCTTAAACATTGTAGCACTCAGTAAATGATTGTTGAATGAAATCAAGGAAAATGAGTACATTTCCACCACCTGACAATAAAGCATTAATTTTGGCATTAATTAGATTTTTCCCCAAAATTGAATTTATAATTCTCACAAAAATGAAATTTGTAATAAATTTCAGAGAAACTTTAAAAATATTTATTCATCTAACATAGACCTGCATTAACTAAACTTATTAAATAATTGTGTATATAATTGATAACCATTTAAAGAGCATGACTGTATTTCACAGAATTAGTAGCTATACTTTTTAGTTACCTGTCATAGTTTAGTGTAGTCATTTGTAATAGTCAAATTTGGTATGTAGATGTGATATATTTAAATATCTGGTAACAGAATATTAAAATAATATAATCCATACTTTTCACTATAAAGTAAGGTAGTGTACAGCCTATCACATTGATTTTAATTTGTGTGGTTGTTGTAGTATGTCTACATTTAAAATGAAAAAAAAAATGTTGAGGTGTGGTGGTGCTTGCCTGTGTAGCCTTTGGAAGCCAAGACAGGAGGGTCATAAGTTTGAAGCCAGCCTGAAATACATAGTAATACTTTGTTTAAAAAGAAAAGAAAATGTATTTGCTATATAGCAAATAGCTCATATTTCATTATTTATGCTAATATTCGTATAACTAACTCTATTTGCTGTAGCAAAATGAAGGAGTAATGTGGTGAAATGTGTGCCATGCCCAAGACCCCTGAGGTTTGCCAAGCCCCATTCATTAGGACTATTAAGAAGACACTAAGAGTTACCCCTGTAAGCAATGTTACTGTGAAATTCTGCCCCCAAATCTTCATTTAGTCTCTTAAGATTAGGTGGAATCTTTTTGCCTGGCAAAAATAGATCCTTTTTGTTGAAAACAGACTGGCTGGCTGACCCCATTGGTGACTTCCTTTGTGCTGACTCCTTATCTCCACTTGAGACATTACCATTTGAATGGCAAGGAAAAGATGAGCTAAAAAAAAAAAAAAAAAAAAAAAAAAAAAAAATGTCTTCAAAATGTTTGCAATAATCTTGTAATGTGCTTGTTTTTATTTGCTAATTATGTCAAGTTGGAAACAGGCTTAGGCCGATCAGCAATAGAGCGTATCAAAGCCATACAATCTTCCCCCAGTAAAAACCCCAAAGAAATGGATACTAAATTATCCAGGGCAAGTTCTGGAAGATAACATTTCACATTTTCAAACCCTGGCCTCCTGTTAGGTAGATCAATAAATATTGCCTGTTCTTATCATTGAGTAGGAAGAGAAGGCGACTTGTAGGTTTTTGTGCTCTTTTAGTGGTTAGAGTATGCCGCTAATATGTCAATCTGTTTACAGAAATCACTGCACAGTCAGATGCTAGTGAAATTCGACAGGACTGGAAACCTACATTCCTTAGTAATGAAGAGTTTACACAATTAATGTTAGAGGTATGTCCAGATTTGATTTTTGAAAGTTTTTTATTTTTCTAAAATTTTAACAGTTAATAATTTTAGTATAGTTTTAGCAGTATTAACATTGAAAAGTCTTCTTTCAGTGTCAATGTAATAAGCTCTGTTTGTATATAATTAAAATTGATCAGTGTATTGATCAAGTATTGTAAGAAAATAATGCCATGTGGTAGAGTAATACCAAGTTCTCCTATTTCCGTTATTTGAAATTTTGAGGCGCTTTCATACAATTCAGAAACCTATAGCTACTGAGTCTTCAACCTGAGACTTCCCACTACGATCTAACAAAGCATCATACACTGTTATCAGTTATGTCTGTTTTATGCCAGTTCAACTACTGTGCCGTAATAGCATGGATTGTAGGGCTTGTGAACAACAGAAGTTTATTTTCCATAGTCCTGGAGACAGGCAGTCCAGTAAGGAGGCCCCAATGGGCTTGCTGTGTGGTGAGAGCTCTTGAGTCTAGTTCATGGATGACATGATATGCAGGAGCTCTCAGGGACTCTTTTATGGGGACCCTAATTTCATTTTGGGGCCTTCATCTTTATCACCTAATCACCTCCTAGCCACCTCCCCCCAATACAACAAAATGAAAAATGAGGTTTCAATAGAAATTTTGTAGGACAAAGCATTTAGTCCGACTAGACATTCACCTAAAATGAACACAAATGGTAATAAATGGTGAATTTTTCAAATGAAAATTTGTGTCAAAAGGTAATCATTCTATAAGCAGAAACTTTGAAAAGGACGTGAACACAGAATTGCTTTATCACAGAATTGCTTTAAACATAATTTAGAACAGTTTTTGCTTGTATGTAGAACATAACTTCTCCCAGTCAGATAATATAACACGTATAAAATTTGCAACATTTATACCTAATAGTTTTACTTTTCTACCCTTTTATCTTTTCCTGCATAGAATATTGAAGTTGTCATTTGTGCACAGAAACTAGTCAGAATTTAGTACCAAGTTTTGTGAAAACTTAAAATAGCAAATGGGAGGTTTACTTTGTAGGTAACAGTGATAAGGAAAACCATAAAACCACTAGTCCTAGTACTCAAGGGGCTATGGCAAAGTGATTGGGGTAGATCAGGGGTGTTGTGGCTAGCCTGGGCAGCATGGGCAGAAATTGTAGATGTAAGAAGTGAAATTGTTAGGTAAAGAAGTTATGTTTCTAGGGTCTACAGCAAGGTAGAATATTTTTTAGTAAGAGGGCTTTTTGTTTATTTGATTATACTATGGGGTATAACAATTAGTGAACTCTATCTGTATAGAAATCATTAAAATTTGCTAGAGTATAAGTATAGCATACATATTTAAACCTATACTTTAAAACTAAGGGACCCACTTTAAGAAGGTATTTGAAGTGGGAACAGGGGCTATCTCCAATTCCTTTACATGGCCCCTGGCACCCTCCTTCTCATACTGGGAGCTCAAGTCTTATTGATAGGCATAGGAGACCTGCCCTTTCCTGGATGAAACAGGAGAGGAGGAGTTTTTTGTTTTTTTTTGGGTGGGGGTGGGAGAAAGGGACTTGGAGGGAAGGATAGTGGGGGGAGGCTGTCTAGGATGTAAAATAAATAGATGGATAAGGAAGTTCAAGAGCAGAGTTGTCGGGAAACTTGCCCATGTCACATAGCTAGACAGTACTTCTGTGATATGTAAGGATGCCGTGCCCTCAGCCAACTTTATGTGTAGAAGGTCTGAAATGAGCAGTTAGCTCATTAAATTAGTGTACAGTTGACATACAACTCAAGGAACAGTCTTAATATACTTGTGTTTTCCCTTTTAAAAGAAGTTTAACATGGGAACTGCAGAGATGGCTCAGAGGTTAAGGTTAAGAACACTGGCTTTTCTTCTTGAGTTCAACTCCCAGCAACCACATGGCGGCTCATAACCATCTATAATGAGATCTGGTGCCCCCTTCTGGCATGTAAGCATACATGCCAGCAGAACAATGTATGCATAATAAAATTTTTTTAAAAAAGAAAATTTAACATTGAAAGCGTTGCTTTAAATTTATGTTTGTGAAAGGATATACACAAGCCAGTCTCTATAACAAGAAAGAAAATGGCTTTTTCATCATTGTTTTATAATCCTACTGTAGTTTTTCATTCAATAAGGTTTTCTGTATTCATTATAAACTGCTTACTTTTATTGGCATGAAATGTTTCTTGTAATTCAAAATTTATGTATTTATAATAAATTTTAATGCACCTGCTTTACTAATAGGCTAAATAGGAAAGTTTTACCTTCAGTTTTTTTTCTTCATAATGGGAAGCTTTTATATTACTTGCCAAGGTGCATACACTGTGTACACAAATAAACATCAAGGAAAGCAAACTAAAAATTCTAGTGATATGACATTATTAAAAACAGACAAAATATATTATAAACTTGAAAATGTAAGTTCTTTATGATTGTCCTCAGATTTTAACTGAACAATGTGTATTTTTAATATGTAAAGAATACTTTATTTATTGTATGTCCGTGGTTACATTTTCACCCTATATGTATGTAGAGGGCAAAGGACAACTTGTGGGAGGTGGTTCTCTCCTTTTACCAGGTGTATTATAAAGCTCAGCCTCAAATTGCCAGACCCAACAGCAAGTACTTTTACCCATTGAGCTATATTGGTAGCCCAAATATTTTAAAGTTTTTGTATGTACCAAGTAAATGTATTTTTAAAAAGTAATAGGCCAAGGTGAAGGGTATGTATATAGATATCTTATATCCTTAGTCCAGATGCTTGCACGTGTGATTTTACATGCTTTCTGTCTTCAATTTTCTGATTGAGTATGAAAATTTTAACCATAACTTAGAATTGGATTTATTCATAAAATAGTCTGGTTTTCTTTGAGTAAAGTTTATCTGACTGGCAAGACTTATGATTGTAATTGTGTTACTCTTAGGTAATCATGTTGATTAAGATTGTAGCTGAGTATTAGGTCCTGTCTGTTTTCAGCTGAATTTCAGATGTATACTATCTTAACATGTTAGCATTGCTGTACAGGAGCTTAGTCTATTTACTTAACATGTTACTGTTGCTGATAACAGGAATTTAGACCGTCTACTTAACATGTTGGCGTTGCTGGTACAGGAGTTTGTTTAGACCATCTACTTAACATGGTGTTTCTGGTACAGGGAGCTTTAGATTATTGGCGAGCTTGTTCATTACTGACTTATGTCCAGGGAAGTTGTTGAAGCTTGTTTCCCTCCAATAAGCTAAGAAATGGCATAATGCCTTTCTCCATTCTTTGAATGAACCTGTCCCCTCTCTCCCCCATCTAGTGCCTGAGTAATTTACTGCAGGACTGGTGGCAGGACAAAGTCATCTTGTTAAGGTCATCTCTGATTGTACACTGTTTTCCCCTCGGCAGCTCATATCCTTCCTTATAGTCTATCAGACAAGGGCTCACACTCTTTGTCAACTTCATCTTTGCTGAAGATCCACAAGGAATTTCTGTTCCCTTCCCTAGAACTAACTGACATTCTAATCTTGCACAAACTAAATAGTCACTGTTACCAAGGAGATATCCATATGAAAGGCAGGGTGTTCTAAGTAATGAACAGTTTTCCTTTATTCATACAGTAAGGGGACAGGGATAACTCACAGTTGGCCATCATGACATGGATGTTCTCTGCCTTATTCTTCCACATTTCTCTAATTACACTTCTCTAGGAAATTTTATTCCTCTACTCCAAAGATTGTCATGACTTGGCAAACTGTTGAAACTTTTCTCTGCAAGAGGAAAGAGCAGGCTTTATCTCTAGGAATGGGGTTAAATGATTAAGCGTCCTTATTTCAGTTCATTCTCTTCAGAGAGAAGCCTGCAATTCCTAGCAGTGTCTTCACAGTGTGAACTCATCGTTACAGTGAAAGATAACTTGCTTTCAACCCTGACAGTCTTCTCACATGAGAAAGCATAGGTTCATTTTTTTACACCAGTTGACTCTATTCACAGAAGCAATCAAATAATTATTGGTTAAATCATAATGGGGGATACTGCAAGAGTTGCCTTAAAGATTTCAAACCTCCTCATTATCTAAAAGCATATTTGTTTTGATTTGTTCTAGGAAGTAAGAAACTATTCAAAATAAGCTTTCCCTGAGACCCATCTCTCCTACTAGGAGAGAGGTGGAGAAGGGTACCTTTTTCTGTATCTTCAACAGTTAGAGACTGGGGATATAGTGCCATGGTAGGGCACTTGACTATGCTCTGCATTCATTTCCTAGCACTGCAAACAGCAGTAATAATAATAAATTGGGCATGGTGGCTTACCTGAGTTCAAGACCAGTGTGAATTATGGCAACTGTCTCAAGACACCCCCACCCCCAAAACACATACCAAAATAACAAAAATAAAATCCATCTAATAGTGGTTTTCTTCACTCCTAATCTTATACTTTATGTACTATCATACTCTTTTCACTTGTACCAAATATTTTCATCTGTGCCCAGACACGGTTACCGAAACATTCCTGTCAGAGGCAGTGACCCTTTGAGAGAGCTGTTTAAATAAATAACATTCAACTTCTCCCCTACTGATCTTTCTCTCCTTTAGTTTACAAATGTACTTGTCACCATTTGCTTTATTCTTCTGGTTTTCAGTGTGTTCCTTTAGTACATGAACCTTTTAAGTAATTGTCCTTCCTCCCTTATTTTCTTGCTAGGTTTATGCATGAGTTATGATAGCCTCTTGTCAGCTTATTCTAAATTTTTTGTGACTGACTTGCCTTCCTGTTGATGTTGCTCTTTGAAAATCACTCAATTTTCTTGTTCCTTGGATATCACTGTACCATCTTCCTTGTCAAGCTTTCCACACCACATTCTGCCCCTGCTATTTCTCAGGCTCTTTTCTTTCTTTTTAAACTCATACTTCAGTGTTTCTTCCAAGCTGTGTCTTTGGTCTGTGTCTTTATTGAAGGTCTCACCTTGAATGCCACTACTGTTCCTGTGGTTATCAAATGAAAGCACACTGAGTCTTGTATCTTCTCTAACATATCTCCTGAAGACATTTGTATGTCTTAGCGCCTGGTTAATCCTTCTCTTTTCCTATTGCTACTCATTTCATTCAGTATCATTTGTTTCTCAGTTATCCCAAGACATGTTTTCTTGATTCAATTCTCTGTCATATATTTCTTCCAGACTATTAGAATTGGAACATAGCCTCCCACCCATACAAAGCCTGTGTTGTCTTCCTTTTATGTGTAGAATAAAGATACCTGTACTAGGAGTTTGGGCTTTACGTGTTTGTGCATCAGCTTAGTTTGGGGTGGCTCGATTTCTTCTTCTCCCTTTATTATTCTCTGCTCCTCCCGTCTCCAGATAAGCTGCACTGTATATACTACATAGTTTATCATGCAGTGTATGTATGTATGCAACTGTACAGACAAACATTGATTTCTTATCTGTACAAACCAGCTTCCATTAGATAGCCAAAGTGATATTTTCCCCTCAGAAACATCTAAAGATGAACAAAAATTAATATACCAAGGTACTGAAAGCAGAATAGCTGCCATTTTGACTGTACTCTAAGATTTCCACAGTAAGTCCTCTGTCATTTTTCTTGTTTCTGTCCAGTAAAATGCTTTTTTCTTTTCCCTTAACTGACCATTATGTTTAATTTCAGGCTCTTGATGGTTTTTTTTTAGCGATCATGACAGATGGAAGTATAATATATGTATCTGAGAGTGTAACTTCATTACTTGAACATTTACCAGTAAGTATAAAAACCCTATAATCTCTGTATTATTTAATGTCTACATTAAAGAATAGAATGCACTAGAAAGTAAACCTTTATAGCAATATTTGAACAGTGGTTGAGTGATTGGGATAAAAACTCCAGGTATGTCTTTGTATTAGCATTGCTATATTTTCTCAGACCAGTCCTACGGCCCTCATCCATAGTATCCAGTACTTTAGCCTCTGTTGTTCTTCTTTTGCATTCTAATGCTAACTTTGCATTGTTTTCCTTTTAGCCTGATGAAAATACTATATCAAACAAACTAAAAACTTCCAGCCACATTTCTAATGAGATATTTCTCAAAAGATTAAAAACTTACCAAAAATAAAACTAGGAGGTGCAGAACTTGTATGCAATATGAGTTGGACTGGTAATGTAACAGTGATGATATTCCATTTTAAAATATGTCATCAAAAAGGTGCACTGGGCTGGAGATGCAGCTCGGTGATACTTGGCATGTTAGACCCTGAATAGGAGCCATGGGGCGATGGAGGAGGGACAGACACATAAACATGTGGGTTCTGCTGCTGCTCCCTCCATAATTCAGACCTCAGGATGTGTAGGATAGCAGTTAGCTAGTCTTGATCTCTGTGGTGGAGCCATTGGTCTCAGGCTGTAAACATCCAGGAGGAGGAAGCTGCTGAAGTTGCTAGTCTTTGCAGACATGGATTCATCCCTTGTAAATACTCAGACTCCAGGGAAAACTGCCATTCCTCTTGAGCCTGGCCCATAAGAGTAACAGATTTTCAGTGTTTCCAATGAGCCAATTGCTCATGGAGTTCTCTATAGGCCATGCCCATGTCAAAATACACGTTTATGTAGGGTTTCACAAACTGAGGGTTTCCTCTGCTTCCTCGGCCATGAAGAAAAATATAGTGAAGAATGAAAGTACATTGAATAATTTTGATTGACATGATGAATATCTTAATTGTGTGTTTGCTTTTTTACTCAACTTGTATTTATTGAACATCCATTCTATATCGAACACTAGGTTAAGTGCTACCTACAGTTAATGGTTTTGGAAATGTACTGAAATTTTTATATAACATGTGCTTGAAAATTTACAATAATACAATATAAATAGTTCAGTTGTAAATAGTAACTTAAAATAATAATAATAATAATAAATTTCTGGTTTCTCTGTTACTTAATATTTTGTGCAGAGGAAGGACTCTACACTTAAAAATGCCAGGCTGTATGAGGTCAGGCATTAAATATTGTATTCATTTTTAAATCTTTTATTATTTTTAATTTTTATTGATGTGTATGTGTGTCTTTGTTTGTATGTGGTTTACCTATGGGTGACCACATAGGCAGAAGGAGGTGTCGAATTCCAGGAGCTGGAGTTGCAAGAGTGGTTGTGAGCTGCCTGGTGTAGGTGGTGGGAACTGAACTTAGGTGTGGACTCTGGAAGAGCAGTAAGTGCTCTTAACTGCTGAGCCATCTCTATCGCCCTATGTGCTAATTTCTAGAAGTGGCTTGACTTTACTCTGAAAAGTTCAGATAAATCCAAAATCTAAAAAAATATTTGAAAGTAAACATGAGACTGCAGTAACATATTTGTCGATTGCCATGGACAGAAGATCAGATCAAGTGGATATTTCTGCTTAACCCCCTCTAATAATTTGCTCTGAGCCAAAATGATTGGAATTTGCTGACTTCACAAAACATTATTGTCTATCGACCAATTAATTGGCTAAGGATGCTATCAGATAATAGCTGAGGTCCATAGTTGAGATTTCTCTGCTAGGCTTGCCCATGTCTGATGGTTTTATCCAATTTTTAAAATTAAAATATGACTACATCCACCAGTGTATTTTTAAAGATGCCTTGCTTTATTAATTTCTTTTTTTTCTGCTATCATAAAACTCCATAAAACTGATTCTCATGTTGAAACAACAGAACTTGAGATAAACTAAATCTTCATTCCAGGGCCACAGTCACCTAAATTTGACATCAGAATAAATTACCATTTTTCTCTCTTGGGAGGGGGATTTATTTGCATAGTGAAAAAACCTGGTTGAGCTGGGAGGGGCCACTGGGAGTCTGGGGTGTTGTTCCTTGGTAGATCACTTCCCTGGCATGCACATACATAGCTCTGAGTTTCCCTCCCAACTCTATAAAAACAAAAGCAGTAAAGTACAGTGTAACAAAACACCAGGAAACCCCAAAGAATGATCCTTTTATAAGATTAAGATATGATTAATTGAAAATGAGAAATTACTTGTTTTTAGCCATATATACTATACTTTTTCAGTTTTACATTTATAGAAAGGATATGACTTAGTAACAATCAAGGCACCATTTGCTTTTGTTCACACTTTTTCATATCCTGCTTCTTGGCACTACCTTTGGATTCCATGCAGAATCAAAGTCCTTCTCTTTTTTTGTTAACTGTATAAATCCTACCACTTAATTAACTGTTCTACTGTTATTTATTTTACAGTTAGGGTAGTTGTATGATGTTAATGCCAGCAATTTTTATCTCTTTATTCATAAGAATACTGGTTGGTTTTTAGAGCCACTCAGTGATTATTTATTGGGTGAATAAAATGAATTACTTAGTTGGCTATTATAGTGACACCTTTTAAAATGTTTCCTAGGGCCCTGAGAAATGGCTAATTAGTTAAGAACACTTGCCGTTCTTGCAGAGAACCTCGGTTTAGTTTCTAGAATTCACATCAGGCAGCTCACAGTTCTAGGGGAACTGTCAGTGCACACACATGGTGTTCATACCTATACTAGGTACGTACACATACCCATTAAAAGTGCACACACACGGTGTTCATACCTATACTTAGATACATACCCATTAAATAAATAATAAATAAAGGTAAAAAAAAATACTTTGCTAATGGAGAAGAGGGCATCAGATTCCCTGTAATTGGAGTTACAGACAGTTGTGAGCTGCCATGTGGGTTCACATGGGGATTGAACCTGGGTCCTCTTAAAGAATAACCAGTGCTGTTAACCCCTGAGCTGTCTCTGATCCAATGCTGGATGATCTTTGGTGTGGGATAGTTTAATTACATCTTGAAATGGACAGCCTGACAGATCTAATTGATACAAATTGTTTGACTTTTTAATAGTAAACCTCACTTTGCCATTTTCTCCTTTTTTTTTTAAGTTTTATAGTTTAGAACCATTTTTAGATTTATAGAGAAAGACAGCAAGTATTTCTTACGAAAATAATTGAGGGGATGAAAGAATCCAGAGAGCTAGCATTTTCTTTTCTTCCATTTTGAGTTGTACTTGGTAACTGAGTGGACATGATACGTGTGTCCACTGAGTGGTTAATGGGAAGTTAGGTGCTGTGTGAAGTGGGGGAAGCAGTAGGGAAGCATCGCTTGTGATTATACTCTTGCTTTCTACTTCACCTGTACTCTTGTCTTGCAGTGGACACAGCTGATGAGTTTATAGATAAGAAAATAAGGGTAAAATAAATAGAATCATGATGAAATGAAATGATACTAGAAAGGGTTGTTGGTGAAGAACAAACAGAAAACTAATTCTTAAAATTAACATTTTAATTCTTATTTCAAATTCATTTTTTTAAAATCAAGAGTACTTTATGCATGCGATCAATGCTTAATTTTTTATAGTTTGTTGGTGAAAGACAGTTTTCTAGCATTTTGTTATTCATGCCTGAAATTTACATTGTTCTTTTAGCATTAATGACTTTCTAGTTTTCCAGAAAAATTCCTCGTTAAAATACAGACGTATTTTTGTTGTGGTTACCCCTTAAGCTATTAAATGACTCCTTGGTGCCAGAATATTTTTTTTGTACTATTAACTCTTGTATGTAAGGCACAGAGCTTAATATACTTTGATGGGCAAGGAAGAGGATAAAGGTGTAAAAGAACCTTTTTATTCATCAGAGGACATAAATATAAGTTCTAAAGGAATTTGTATTTGTGGTTTGGGTAAATGCTGTTTTGAAGGAAGTGAAGCTTTAACTTTTTTTTTTTTAAATAAAAATACATCATTTTTGCTTTTCTTCCCTCCCATGTCCCAGCTTACTTCATTTCAAACTTATGACTTCTTTTTCTTTCGCTACTGTTAAACACATGTATGTACACATACATATAAATATAAAAATGCACTTTGGTGTTGCTTATGTATATATGATTTCAGGGCTGAACATTTTGTATTGAATTACAGTTATTGGGCTAATTCCTGTGAAAGACCAATTCTCACTCTCTCAGTAGTCATTAGTAGCTTGGAGTTCTCTTTTTAGAGGTAGGGCTTTATGAGACTTCCCCTATCCATATCAGCATGTCTATTGGTGTCATTGTACAGAGCTTGTCATTTCTAGGAGACACAATCTCACATCAGACTTCGTAGTCCTTATTCTTAAAATCTTTATGCTCTTTCTTCTGAGGAGTTCTCTGAGCCTTAGGTGCAGGGGTTGTGTTGTGAGGTATCCATTGGGGTTGGGCACATCACAGTGAATTGTTCTCTGCATTTTGACCAGTTGTTTTCTTTAATGGTCTCTGCTGCTGCAAAAATACACCTTTTTTAGTGGGGGATGAGAGCTACACTTATTATGTGCAAGGATAACTTTAGAATGCAGTTAAGAATTATGGTAGTCTGCTAAAGTGGTTGTAGTAGGTTCTCTTGTAAGATGTGTAACCTAACCTCACTAGCATGCTTTTGTGAAGGGAGTAATTTGAATTGGTCTTTGAAAGATGTGAGCTAGAGATGTGGAGTTTACCAAACATCCCACTTGATGGAGTAGAGAAGACTTTGATCACTTAGAGAAAAGCCAGACGAAATCATGTGACTATGGGGAGTAGTAAATCATCCTTCCTTTTCTCCCATGATTTGCTTTTATTCTTACTATTTTGTTTGAAGCAGTGGAACTCTTCAGATACAACCATTATAGGTATATAAAATGGAAACAAAATGAAAGTACAACAGCTTTGCCATCACAGCCCCCTCTACTTCTCCTTCCTCTCACACTTCCTTTAGCTATCATTACCTTGTTTCTAGAGTTAGAAAATTTTAAAAAGTGAGAAATACAATAGGATGGGCTGGACTCAGTAGAAGGTGAAGTTGCTGAGGTTTCACTGTTTCATTGGTACTTGAGGATAGGAACTGTCATATTCATATTTGAGTCTACAACATCACCTGTTGTAGGTTCCCTAGCATTTGTCAGACTACTGTTGATTATGATGATGACTAAAGACACATATTAGCAAGCAAGAAGAATTAGAATGTTTTACATGCTGACTGTACATGCATTTTAGGCAAGGTTTTTGGCAACATGATCTAGAATAAATGCCTGGAAAAGATGAAGTAAAATTAAAGGACATGTTGGACTATTGCAATGATAGTAGTGTAGTGTCAAATTGCTTCATTTAGCTTGTTACTGTTTCTGTGTATTCACCTATAATGCCACTATTTAACAGGTATTTGATTAAATAACAAGGCTGTGTCTTAGAGCAAATAATTTTCTTAACTTCTCAGACCCATTGTATGTTACACTGTTTAAATTTGCTGAAACTATGGTTTTCAAATAACGCATCTGGCTTTCAGGATTACATCAGTTATGGATCTGATGATTCTGGTATGTTAACCTTCTCCAGCTTCTCAATTTCATTTTTTAATATAAAGTTTGTAGCTTGGCATTATTGATTTTCATGGATAACCAAATATTAATATGCACTTATGTTATTTAATATCTTTTAAATGTGTTAGAAATAAGTGCCTCTCAAAGTACTGTTATATAACTTTAATTTTTTTTTATTTTTATTTTTCAGTCTGATCTTGTGGATCAAAGTATATTTAATTTTATCCCCGAGGGAGAACATTCAGAGGTTTATAAGATACTCTCTACTCATCTGCTGGAAAGTGACTCACTAACCCCTGAGTACTTAAAATGTAAGTAGGCCCTCCTAAGCAGATACTCAGACCTTATATTTGACAGCATTATTGTTTAGCCCTGTAAGTTTATGAGAGATACAATGTTTAACTAAATTAGAATAGCACTATTCATTGAACTCTGTTAAGTGCTTTTAAAATATTGGTGTCTATACACAACTGAAAGAATTGTGTTCATTTTAAGATGTTAGATCTGTTCCATTATATATTGAAGTCTCATCTTTTTTGTTATAAGAAATTGATCAAATTATGCCACAAACTGTAGTGGATAAAAAGATGGAAATCAGCTACATGTTTTTAATTTTTAAATGAAATCATAAAGTATTTAATAAAATAATCTTTGCTGGATATGTTGAATAAAATTTTTAAAGTGCCAAATATAGTGAAAAATAGTCCCTGCCATCACTAGCACAAAGTATTTTGGCATAGTGAGGTGTTTCTGTAGATTGCTTGGGCAAGCAGTTGACTGCAGCCATCACTGCCTTCATTCTTGGTGTAGTGGTTACCTTCACACGGTACCCTCTTATACTAGACACTGAAAAGGGACACATTTATCTGAGCTTGTGGTTTAGAGATGTCTTAACATGCTGGGGAGGACATGATGGAGCACAGCTGTTCACAGCATGACAGCTGAGAAGCAGAGGGAGGGAGGGAGGGGAGGAAGGAAGGAAGGGCTTCCTGCCATGGCATGCTTCCTCCAGGCTTCCTTCTTCCTACAGTCTCTAGATCCTCTCACAGTAGCACTACCAGCTGTGAGCCCTTTGTGCAGACAGTTAATGTGCAAAATATAGTAGATGCCCCGAGTAAAGAGTAAAATCAGGACTGTGAGTCTGGGGATGTGACAGTGGTGAAGTGCTTGCCTATAATGCATATGACTCTGAGCTCAGTTCCTGTGTGTGTGTGTGTGTGTGTGTGTGTCTGTCTGTCTGTCTGTCTGTCTGTCTGTCTGTCTACATTTAGTACATTATTTTATTCACGTAGCCATTAGCTATTAGAGACCTTCCTTACTCATTTTTTATTAGTTTTAAATTTTATCTTATCTGGTAATAGTGACATTAATCAACTTAAAAAGTTCTTTGTATTTATGGTTTCAGGTTCTATAATATTAGGAACTACCATGCATGTACTTACATGCGTATGTAAATCAATGTCAATAATGGATTGTCTTTCAAAAGGAGTTATGAAAAGAAGTGGAAATTTACTATAAGTTATTGTTTATAGTCATATTTGTATCATGCTGGTCATTAGACCATTTTAATATGGTACTTAGAAGAAACATTTGGTCTGGACTTAATATAGAAATCAATTATATGGCTTTAAGCAGTATTTCAAGTTACAAAACAAAAGGTGTTATTTGAGGCAAATGCATAGAGAAGGGAGAGAAGTAGAAAGAAGGCACTCTGAGGTGCCAAGAGGACAGGGAGAAGGAGCTGGTTTCAGGGACCCTGGGAGGAGAGGGCTGTTCCGAAAAGTGCATAAAAAGCTTCTGCCAAGATAGACCTTGTGCTCTCAAGATTAGAGAAGTCTTAACTCAGTGGCTTGCTGAGGGCCTTCTAAAGAGGTAGTATACATGCAGAGTTCTTTCCCCAGAGTCATTGAGTTGAAATGCAAGGTACTTTGCTTACAAAATTTAGTAGGCTATTTTAGCTGTAGTGACTGAGTTGGTACAAATGATGTGATGTTTGTAAAATGAAGCAGAATTGTAAAGAACATAGTATTTCATCCTATGGAGTTTAGTTTTTATTCTTTATACAATGGAAAACTAGTGGAGGCCTTTTGGGTGGTTTGTAGTGGAGGGGGAAAAAATAAAGGTAGAGAATTTTGCAAAGGACCATGAGAGAGAGAGAGAGAGAGAGAAAGAGAGAGAGAGAGAGAGAGAGAGAGAGAGAGAGAGAGAGAGAGAGAGAGAGAGAGAGAGAATTAGCAGTAAAAGTAAGGATGGAGAAAAAACATGATCGATAAGAAGTTGGTAGATCCAGTACAACTTAAATCTGGGAAGGTTTTGAAAAGGTAATTAGATAATTAGATTTTGAACCTGTTGAGTTAGGTGATAGAGTCAGATGCACAAGAGAGTATAAGTGTGATGCAGTGAGCAAAGGAAGAAGGTGTTACATGTTCCTGATATGAAACTGTCTTACATAAAACAAGGAATTGGTCAGAAAGATACAGATAAGAGTCTCCTAAGATTGAGCAGTGACTATAGAAAGGGTTATAAAAGGTCAAGCTCAAAAAGTCTTTGTGAAAGTATCTAGTGCCAGTCAATTAGCAGAATACAGTAGTATAGGAAGACAAGTTCATGCTGTGGGAATGAGGAAGAACGAGTTTTAAGATGAACTGGAAAGAATGAAAAAATCACTTGAGATCGACAATGCAGTGCCAATATTTGGGAAAGTCATTGAGGTAGAAGTGTAAGGAAGTTAGATGAATACACAGAAACCAGAATGTATTTGAATGAGTTCTCTGTTGCTATAAATAGATTACCATGAAAAACACTTCGTTGAAAAGATCAAAGACCTGATTAGATTTAAAAATTGTAGGAAGTAAGGAACCAAAGAAAATTTGCAGTTGTTAAAGGGATGAATACCAAGTGGCAAGGTACTGGTTCTAAAGAAGATGAGAAAGATTCTTGAAGGTAGAGATGGGAACAGTAAGCCTAAAATTTTAACACTTGGGAGCCTGAAGCAAAGGAATTATAAATTCTAGGCCAGATTGTGTTACTGGGTGAAACCCTGCTAGAAAGCAACAGAAAAGGAATTGGCTTTAAATAAAGGGGGATCATTAGCTTCAAATGGAGAACAAAGTATTTTTTGTGAGAATAGAGGGATGAGTAGATCGGAGGAGAGGTGAAATGGAGAAAATTGCTGTTGCTAGTGCTGCCTGCAGTCATCTCCTGTAGTACACTAAAAATGACATGTAGCGCTTGTGTTGGAGAAAATGATTGTGAACTTACCCAACTTTTTACCACTTATTTCAGCAAAAAATCAGTTAGAATTCTGTTGTCACATGCTTCGAGGAACAATAGACCCAAAGGAGCCATCCACCTATGAATATGTGAGATTTATAGGAAATTTTAAATCTTTAAACAGTGGTAAGTTAAAATGCCTCTTTTATAGTATATTTTAACTGGCTGTTTTTGTTTTTCTAAGCTCTTAGATGCTTGAATATCAGTAACAAGTATATGTTACTAGACTAACCAATGATACACGTCTCCTTGCTTTTTAGTATCAACTTCAGCACACAACGGTTTTGAAGGAACTATACAACGCACACATAGGCCTTCTTACGAAGATAGAGTTTGTTTTGTAGCTACTGTCAGGTTAGCTACACCTCAGTTCATCAAGGTATGTTTCTAATTTTAATTGTTCTAGTGCATTCCAGTTCAGGATATGAGGATTGTTCTTAGATTTTTTTGTTGTCTTCAGAAGGCTGGCATAGTAATGGCTAATGAGTTATTAAATATACACAAACTTTGTATTTTAACACAGTAAAGTATACAAGCACTCATTAACTATGTAACTTTTTTATTGGATTTTTTGCAGGTAGTATATTACCATTGCTCTGCTTTTGTGCAGAATTTAGTCTGTGTAGTTCACTATCATTCATAAAGAAGAAAGTAATATATATATATATATATATATATATATATATATATATATTTATAGGCGTTGGTAGCGCATAGTTTTAATCCTAGTACTCAGGAGGCAGAGGCAAGTGGATTTCTGTGAGTTTGAGGCCATTCTGGTCTACAGAGTGAGTTCCAGGACATCTAGAACTGTTACACAGAGAAACCCTGTCTTGAAAAACCAAACCAAACCAAACAAGCAAACAAAAAAAACTTGTGGCTTTACTAGTTATAATTTGCTATTTGTATTTTTTATTTTTAAAAATGTGTATGGGTATTTTGTCTGCATGTATGTTTGTGTACCATGTGCTGGAAAAGGGCATTGGATGCCCTGGAACTAGACTTAAGTTGTAAGTTACCATGTGAGTGCTGAAAATTGAACCAAAGCCCTCTGGGAGAGCAGCCAGTGTTCTTAACTGCTGAGCCGTCTTACCAATCCCTGCTTTTTGAATTTTAAATTGTGTGCTTTTATTTCTTGCATTCCATAAGCAGATGGTTAGTAGAGAAGTAGAAAAGTTAATTACTTCATTTCCTAAAGACTGAAGAAGCCAGGGTGACATTATAGTTTAGGGGACACTGTAGTATAAGACAAAGAACAGGTAACAGCTAGAAGATCTTAAACTAGTCTTTGGTCTTAGGCAATTGAAGGACAGTTGCATGCTTTATCTCATTAATTTTTACACCTGTAAGATAGATGCTATCATATTTTATATTTAAGGAAACTAAGTCTTAGGATGTTGCTTGCCAAATTTCTCATCTAGTAAGTGGGACTTGATTGCAATTATTTTTTTTTCAAATCTCTAGCTCGTAGCTGTTAGAGAAGATTATGTAAGGATGGAGAAGAAGGCTGTAATGCTTTTGCTTTGTACAACAGAATCTAGGTTTCATGTATGTGAGGGGAGAATAGTCAAAGCTTATTTCAGAAAAGTAAGTAGATGCCAGGTGTGAAATTTGTTCTCTGTGTGGTTTTTCTCCTTGAAGAGATTTGAGTATGAGAAACCTTAGAAGAGTTTTAAGTGGGAAGTTGTATAAACATATTGAGTATTGGTAAGGTAATGGTAATGGCTGACCTCTGAATAGAAGACAAATTGAAGGAAGGGAAGGCTGATGAGATGCTATATTAGTGAGGTGAATCAGTGAGGGTAAGGATCTAAACTTAGTCACTAAAGACAAGTGATATGGAATGGATTTTAAAATACCTGGAAAGTAAAATTAGAAGTATGGGGCAGGAGAAATGGCTCAGTGTAAATGCACTTACTACACAACATCCATGCATGTTGGCTTATAACCAGCTGTAACTCCAGCTGGTTTACATCACCCTCATCTGACCTCCACATATATACACATAAATAAGAACATGCTTATTAAAGGAAAACATTTAGTAATGGCCACTTAGAACATGAAAGAGTGCTCATTTCTAGACTCTGTTATACAGAAAGGAGACCACCAATGAGATGGGGAATTGGGTAAGTGTATATGAGAGTAAGGCAATTGGCCTGTTTGGGGGCATGTCCAGACACTAAGACATGGAATGGTAAATCAAAAGACAGGTCTGGATTTAGAAGTAGGATCTTAGGCATGTGAGTGAGAACCACTGTAATGGCTGACTGAGGCTGGCAGTTGCTGCTGCTTTATCTGTTGTCTGAAATGACGGTAAGAGTTGTTGAGGATTAAATTTAGGACTTTTCAAACTCTAGACTAGTACTTTGCATCTCTCCAGCCTTGTGTCTAGTACTAAAAACTAAATATGTAAATTTGTTTAGATGAAAGTTATTTAATAATTACTTGTATCTAACAATATTTAATATTTCCAAGGATACAGAAAAGTACTTTTAAATTATACTTGTTAATTTGTTTGTAGGAAATGTGTACTGTTGAAGAACCCAATGAAGAGTTTACATCTAGACACAGTTTAGAATGGAAGTTTCTATTTCTGGATCACAGGTAATATCACCTTTGAATACACAAAAAAGGGGGGAAAGGTGATAGTTATGTAATTCTGGATATTATTGGACTTCAGTGACAAATTTTCTAGTAAGGATTTTGAAATTCATTATCATTTTTGAAAAAGTAAAGCCCACTTCTCAAATTAATTTCTGTCTATAATGTCTCTTATAGAAAAGTTGTAAAACTAATTTTTATTATTATATAATTTAGGGCACCACCAATAATAGGCTATTTGCCATTTGAAGTTTTGGGAACATCAGGCTATGATTACTATCATGTGGATGACCTAGAAAATCTGGCAAAATGTCATGAGCACTGTAAGTAGATCTTTATATTTCTATTGAGAACTATTTTAAAACACACAGATACTCTGTTCTATTAATGAGAGACACAGAAAAGATTTAGAACTATTTTTATAAATATACACAGAAGGAACAAGTTTATACTTTACCTTGATCTTACATGTAGAGGAAGTCTTATAGTACGTTAAAGAAGTACATAGTTTCCCAAAATCAGTTTAACACAAAACTTAGTTTTTGCTTAACACCAGCAAAAATGCTTTAGAACCTCATATTTGAACTAGTCTGAGAATCTTTCACTTAACATTTATTTCAAACAATGACATTATTCTGATTTTTGGCTAATTAAAGCTTTACAATTAAATGCCTCAGAGATATACCAATTCATGACAGTGTCTTTGGAAGAAAGTGCAGTTCATGTGATAAGTGTCGTATATCTGTGGTTATTAACTGTTTTCCCTAAGTGTCACTTGTCTGTGATTATTCACTGTTGAATGAGGGAGATATGTAAGAGTAGCAGTTACAGATTGCAAAGTTGGGAGCTGGAAGATGCAGTTATTTGGGGGACCTTAAATTAGTTTTAAAAACCATCTTTATAGTGCTACATATTTCTGAATGTTATCCACAAAATACTTATATCTTTATATAGAGTTAAATGAAAATGACAGCTTTTGTTTAAAAGAAATCCAGATTCTTCATAGGTAAATATATATTAAACAAAAAAATACTGTTTCTTTTCTTTTTAGTAATGCAGTATGGGAAAGGCAAATCATGCTATTATAGGTTCTTGACCAAAGGACAACAGTGGATTTGGCTTCAAACTCACTATTACATCACTTACCATCAGTGGAATTCAAGGCCAGAGTTCATTGTTTGTACTCACACTGTAGTCAGGTAATACTCTTTTAGAAAATTGTAAGGTGTAGTATACCTAAATATAATTTTACATGTGATTTGTTAATAATAGTGATCTTTTCCCAGTTTTAATATTTTTGAATGTTAAGCTTCCTTAATAGGTAGAAATATGATATAGGTAATGCATGGGTATATAAGGCCTGACTTGAATATTGTTCTGTTACAAAGTTGTACCAACATTCAAGCGTCAGTGTATGTCATGCAAAGCAAAAACCAGAGTAACTGTGCTGATCACCTTTCCTTCATTTGGTTCCTCTTAAGATACTTGCTTAGTTTGTACAGATAATTTGTGGAATACCTAATTCATATGGATTGAAAATAGGCAGTATACTGTACATATTTGCTAGGTTTGCTTAGACAGAGAAAATTGTACAGAATTACTGTGATCGAGTGAGATACATAACAAGCACCAATTGGTTGCATCTCTACAATATTTTAAATAAGTGACCAAACATTAAAATTAGATTCTTTCCATTTGTAGTTATGCAGAAGTTAGGGCTGAAAGACGACGAGAACTCGGCATTGAAGAATCTCTTCCTGAGACAGCTGCTGACAAAGTATGTTCTTCATAGCCTCTTTTTAAAATATTTCATTTCCTAATAATTTGTGAGAGAGTTGATTATCCTTTATAATTTTTATTTTGAATTTACTTTTTTAAAATGTTGTTTGCTTTTAAAAAGGAATTGAAGATCTTGCCATTTAAAACTTAGATGAGAGACATACCCAATCTAAGACTGAAACAATCATTATAGTTGACTTTGATGTCTAGACTGTGTTCCTTTAATCATTGCAAACTGTGATTTACTCCTTGGTAGCCTTTTCTGAGGTGATAACCCACACTTTGAAAATACTAAGACTAGATTTAAGAGGGAACCTTACCTAAAGACACATGACTAGGAAATTATAGTTAGAATCTGAACTATGGTTTCTTTGTTGTTGTTATATCATGTGGAAATCAGCATATCGCTTGCCTGATTTGATGGAGAAGGAAGTAGAGATCCAACAGCAGTTTTTTGGTGTATACATGAGAACATTGATCCCTTGCACAAGTGTAAAGAGTGCTAATCAGGGGCAGACTTTCAGTTGTATCCAGCTGGCAGCTATGACTTGTAGGCCACATACGGCCTTCTGACTGATTTCACAACATCCGTAAACTATAAATGTGTTTCCTCCTATACTTAAGTTATTGAAAAAAAGCAAAATAATAATAATGTTTTAATAATAGGACTGCATGAGACAAGTGTCAGATTCAAATTGCAGTACTCATAAAGAACACAGCCACACCCGGTTGTTCATATTTTGTTCATGACTGCATTTGTGCTACAGTAATTGAGTAGTGGTGACAAGGACTGTATGGCTGAGAAATCCTGAAAGATCCACTCAGGAAAAGTCAGTATTCATGGTTAGTGATTGTTAGAATAGTGAGAGCTTATGGCAATGTTCTCAGTGAAATAAGAACCAAAAGGTACCAGCTGGAATTAGATTATGGAGAGGGGTTTGCAGATGTCTTGAGGTTGTAAAGGGAAGTAGGAAAGGGAATGCTGTGTGGACATTTACTGTCTGGTTATAGGTGGATTCAGAACTCTCACAAGTTTGTTTGTTTGTTTGTTTCTTTCTTTCTTCCTCCCCCCCCCCCACCACCATAAAGGAAAGCATTTAATTGAGGGCTTACAGTTTCGGAGCTTTATTCCATTATCATCATAGTGGGTGTCGGGCAGGCTGACATGGTGCTGGAGGCGCTGAGAGTTTTTCTGTCTTGATCAGCAGGCAGCAGGGACAGACTGTCACATTGGGTGTGACTTGAACATATATGAGACCTCAAAGCCCTCTTCCATGGTGACACTTCCTCCAACAAGGCCACACTTCCTAATAGTGCCACTCCTTGTGGGCCAGGCAGTCAAACATACCTCACAAGTTTTTTGATCATTAATTTGAAGTAAGAACAGTCACTATGCTGTGTTTCCTTGGCCATCTTGTGCTGTGTAGGATAAGCAAAAAGTTTAACAATTGGGATTTTGCCAAGGAAGTGTGATGATAAAAGGAGATAGGAGCTATGGTATTGAATGCATGTGCACAGTTGTTATAGTAAACACAAATTTAAGAGTCTTAAAGAGAGAAGACATAAAGTGAAGCTGACAGAGAGCTGTATCGTCAATGTAGGTGTGACTTAAGCCATAGGATTGTTGGAATTAGGATCCTAACAGGGATGCGTAGGTAATGCAGCAGGTTTAGGTAAAAAATGAGGATGCTTGAATTGAGATAATTAGCTTTGGGGGGTATGACCAAGAATTGGGGGATAAAGACTGGTAAAAATTTTGTAGGGGTGACACCAAGGGCAAGAGAGTTCACAGTGTTGGGCTTTAGTAGAGATGATTTGGGTTTACTAATTCTGGGGAACACTGAGTGAGAAGTTTGAATGTCATTCAGGTATGTGCTATGAAGTCAGCACAGGATTGGTACATGACCACAAGAAACGATGTGTTCTAGTATGTGAGCTTAAGGAGGAGGCTATTTCTTCATCCTATGGAGTTACAGTTTTGAGAGTCCTAAGGCAGAAACTCCCACCTGTGGTGGGAGCTATAAGGACACTGGTGAAGTTTGGTTTTTAGAAAAGATGAGTGAAGAAATATTCAGATGGAAAATGGAGTTGTTTGTTTATTATGGACTTTGAAGGTAGGTGGAAGGTTTCAGAGATTAAGAAGCAGTGAGCAGTGGACTCTAGGCTGGAAAGAGCTGCAAGTTAATGAAGGAGGACACAAGACAGTGAGTGGCATGCTCTCTACCCCAGAATGAGTAACTGTGCAGTTACATATGTGCATATATGTCAGCAATCATATGTAGCCCTAAAATAGGGATGAGCACTTGTTTCTTGTTCACTGCTGCATGTGGAAAGACTTTAAAGGGACACTGATGCTATTTTTAGTATGGCATTGGGGAGGAAGTACTGGTTCGTATGCTATATCCGTAGTAGGGTTCTGCTTTTGCTAGTGGTGTTTTTATATGTGTAAGGCAAAGCTGTCAGCTGAGAGGAGGAGACAAAGATGAAGGAATAGTGGGAAAGGCATGGGATAACTGCTGACTAGAATTGTGCTTTCACTTGAAGTTAGTGACCACCATAGGCCACCTGCAATTGTTTCCACAGACCCTTGAGCCTGTGAGCTAGGAGCAGGAAGCATTGTTTAAATTGCTATTTTAGTTTGTACTGCTTATAGGTACTATAGTGTTTACTATGACAAGGCAGACAGAATGACTAAGGTAAGTAAAAGAAACAGTTACTGTGCTTCATAGAGAGATGATAGGAAAGGGTTAGGATGGCAGTGGTTCATCCACATAGTAAAATCCGGGAGAAAGGTCATAATTGAAGATTTTGAGCAAATATTGAATCCCAAAGTTTTTTTTATAGTACTTTGTATATTTAAAAAATCACTGTCTTCATTCTATTATTTACTTTTTATAGTTAGTTTTTAAAAAGTAATAAAGTGACAATTCTAATGATTTTAAGGACATACTTGAGTATTGTAACATTCTCACTGTTGTACAGTTGTCACCAGCATCCATGCCCAGAACTTTTTATCCTCCTAAACATAAACTGAGTTGGTTAAACAACTTTTCACCCCTTCCCTCCAGCTCTTTTTAGCTATGGTTTTCTATTTTTTCATTTGGCTTCTCTGGGTACCTTCTATAAGTAGAATCGTACAGTGTTTGTTCCTTTGTGACTAAGGTAATTTTACTTGGTATGATGTTCTCAAGGTCCCTTATATTATAGCATGTATCAGATTTCCCTTTGTTTTGTGGGCTGGGTAATGTTCCATCATGTGTGTATCCTCTTACTAGTCAGTGGAATCGTGGGTTGCCTTCACCTTTTATTTGTAATAATATGTGGACATAGGTAGGCATGCAGAAAGATCCTAGATCCCTACTTCTTTCCTTTGGGTGTATGCCAAGTAGAATACTGGATCATACAGTAGGTAACTCTTTGATAAAATTTGAGGGAAACTGCCAAACTGTTTTCCGTAGAGCCTGTGCCCTTTTTCAATCCCTTTAGCAAGCCATTAGAGCTCAACTTCCTTCACATCTTTATCATACTGATTGATTTTTGAGAAGCGTTTGTGTTTGATAAGGGTTTTGTTGTTGTTATTTTTGTGTTGTTTTGTTTGAGTCAGGTCTCACTTCGTAGTGTTGACTGGCCAGGAGCTTACAAGAGGAGATCTGCCACCCAACTGTCTGACTTGGGTTTTTTGATTTTAGCCATTCTAATAGAACATAAAATAGCATGACTAGTTTTGATTTCTATTTCCCTGATGAGTAAGTTTGAGCAGTTTTATCAGGTAATTGTTTATTTTCTCTTTGGAGAAATATGTATTTCCCTTCCTTTTTTTTTTTTTTTTTTTTTTTTCTTTTTCTCATTTATTTTGGGTTTTGTTTTGTTTTAGAGCTAGGGTCTCATGTAGTCAAGGCTTGCCTTTGGCAGGCTATGCAGCCAAGGATGACCTTTGAACTCCTGATCATTCTGTGTGTGCCACCATGTCCAACTTGCTCGCTTTTTGTTTGGGGTTGTTTTGTTTCTTGACAGGGCATCTTGCTGTGTTGCACAGGCCCGGCTCAAATGATCCTCTTAATGGCCTTTGCAGATGCTGTGTTTAAAGGTACATATCAATTAGGTACGATTGCTCACTCCTATAATCTTAGCTTTTGGGAAACTGAGGCAGGAGGATTGCCACAGGGTCCTAGCCAGTAGTATGAGACGTTGTTTCGACAACAAACACAAGTGCATCTCATCACACATGTGTTCTGTGTCCACTTTTGTAATTGAGTTGTGTTGAATTGTAGGGAGTTCTATACTCCAGATAATAAGTCCTGATCAGATAATGATGTATAAATATCTCCTCACTTTTGTAGATTATTTTTATTTTGTTGGCAGTATTTTTTGATGCATAAATATTTTTTAATTTTTTGAATTCCAGTTTAACCAGCAAATCTAACATCATGAAACCATTTCTTTATGTTTTCTTCAAGGGTTTTATAGTTTTAGCTTGTAATATTTGTTTTTGATCAATTTTGAGTTAATTTTTGGACATAATACAAGAGTCTAACCCGAGTCTTGTCAGTTTTTCTAAATAGAGAATAAAGTCAAACTTTAGCAATATTAAAATAGGATTTTTTTTTTCTTACCTAGCATGCGTGCGCACACACACTTTTTAAGCCTTGTTTTACAAGGCTTCAGTCCTCATGCTTGCATGGCAAATACTTTACACACTAGCTGTCTCTCCAGCCCCTTGTAAAAGTGTGTTGAGATCTCTGCACTGTGCAATAAGAAAACATTTATTTTCTCTTGTCTCCTTAGAGCCAAGATTCTGGGTCTGACAATCGTATAAATACAGTCAGTCTCAAGGAAGCACTGGAAAGGTTTGATCACAGCCCTACTCCATCTGCCTCTTCTAGAAGCTCGAGAAAGTCATCTCACACAGCAGTCTCAGACCCTTCCTGTAAGTGCCTTAGCCTAGAAACAAACTTGTGTTTAAAAGAGCTTGTCTAAATTACTTGTTGCTACCATCAGCACTGTTGTCAAGAGCTTCTTCAAATTCTGATTTTTTTTTTTTTTTCAGTTTTAAAATACAGTGACCTTTCTAGTAAGAAACAAACTAATTATCTTTAGAAAAAAGTTAAGGTCATCAAGTGATGATATGTAGATGGTAATGTTCTGCTTAACTTTTAAATTAAAAGAAAAAAAAACTATCTTTCATTACAAAACCAGGTGATTATGTTTGTTTGAGTGTTTTGTCTGCATGTTTGTCTGTGTACTGTGTGTGCTTGGTCCCTGTAGAGGTCAAGAGAGGGTATCTAATCCCCTGGAACTGGAGTTCAAGGGTGATTATCAGCTGCCATGTGAGTGGTGGGAACAGAGCCATGGTCCTATGCAATAATAAGGGCTGTTAACCACTGAGTTCTAGTTGCTAGAGTCTAGCCCTAGCTAGACTCTTTATGATGACTTGGATAATTGTCTTTAAATTGTCGTTAGTCCTCTGTATCTACAGCCACATAATAGAAAATGCCTCCTCAGGTATGTTTACAATGAACATGTACAGGCTTCTTTCCTTGCCATTGTTTCCTAAGTAATAGTACAACTGTTTTACCATGTATCCATTGTATTACGTGTTAGTAATCTGGAGTTGATTGGAATTCTACAGATAGGCAAATACTGTGCCATTTCTTGGAAGAGACCGTAATATGCATGAATTTTTATGCCTGCAGGTAGCTCTGACACCTGCCCCTTGAGTGTGTGGAGGAGGACTGGAGGGACTGTTTTTAAAGTTTTCTCCTACATGTTTTCTTTGTCCAAAAAAAAAAGTAATTAAAATTAATCTTACAGACATGGACTTAGCTTTTGTCTAATAACAGAAAACTAACTCAGTCATTTTTATTCATGAAGTGTATATGGAGATGAACCCTTCAGAACTGTAAGTTCTAATTCTGTTCCCTGTTGGCTCACTTCAGCAACACCAACGAAGATACCTACGGATACTAGCACTCCTCCCAGACAGCACTTGCCAACTCATGAAAAGATGACACAACGGAGGTCATCCTTCAGCAGTCAGGTATGCTCTTTAGCTAATATCATAGCCCTTTAGCAAATCATTGATGTAGTCACAGATGTCTAAAATACCCTTTCTATAAGGATCAAAATTTTTGCTGACTATGACACTCAAAATCTTTCCCATTTTTCAGGTAAAATGCTAGTTTTTCATTTTGAAATTGTGAAAACGTGCCAATTGAGAGCTATTGTTAAGTTCCATTTGCCTTCAGTTCAGTCCACCCAACTTTCGATTGCGTGTACATCCAAGGATCTATGCTGAGTGCCATGGGAAAGAAAAGATACAGAGAGTGAAAAGAGTGACATACTTCATACTCAACCAAGACAAGGCTGTCATTGAATGATGAGCACAGCGTATTGGTGTTTGTAGTGGAAGTTCTCATAGATGAGTATGAGCATCACTTCATTGTCATTTTTTATTTTGCTTCTAGTCCATAAACTCCCAGTCTGTTGGTCCATCATTAACACAGCCAGTGATGTCTCAAGCTGCAAATTTACCAATTCCACAAGGCATGTCACAGGTATTTTTGTTTATTTTAGTTGAGCATTTACAAATGATAATTACATTTAAGCAAATATGATTTCACATGTATATATAAATACACATAATTATAAATGCAGTAAATATTAATTGAAAGGATTTAGAATATGTAGTGACATTTTAGATACCTACAATGATTTTGGGTGCCACTAGACCCTTACTAGACAGACTCACGGGTGCATATATTTTTCAAGATTCTTGATGGTCTTATATAACAAAGAATTTTCTTAGTTACTGTGGTATAACTTCTTACAGATAACAGCCTGTAGGTATGATAATTTTAAATGTGAAATATACTAGTTCATTTTGTTCTTCCTGTAGATATTGGAAGATTTGAGTAATTTATATATTAATTCATTTGTTTGAACATGGGACATTTATATATCAGGGATGCTGACAGTATTTGTAATTCCTATATTAACAAGCTACTTGATCTTAAGGATATGACATATAACTAAAATACCATGTTATTTAGTTTGCACACATGACTTGGATCTTTAATGCAGCTTAAACAAGTGTGAGGTGCCAAGTGTGGTGATACATGCCTGTATCCTAACATGGAGGAAGCATGAAAGTCAGGTGTTCAAAGTAATTCATAACTATATAGTGAGTTTGCAACCTTCCTGAACTGCATGTACCTCCAAAACAAAACCAAAATAACAACAAAACTGAAGGAAATGTGAGAGGGTATGAGTCCAGAGGAGGAGTGAATACTGAAGTTAGCAGAGGAAAGGAATTCCCCAGAGGAAAGGAATTCCTAAAGCACTGCTGTGTGCCTTCTTAACTTGTGACTTATAACTCATTCAGAGTTTCAGAAACATTAACAACACTACTGACTAGCAATAAATATATTGGGAAAGCTTCTATTTTATTTTGCACTAAAAACTTGATTGCTAGCAACACTACCCTGTAAGAGCTGTGTAACAGCACTCTATTATTTAAAGCATCAAATTGAATGTTCAAATCTTACTTACTTTGAAGTATTGACAGAATTTTTATGTAATATGCAGACATACTTTCAATATTATTTGCTCTTTAAAGTTATCAGTAAAGCACTGTCAATGTCTTTGTAGGCGTGTTTTCATGATATATATAAAAATATATACTACTAAGCATTCGGTTCTCATGTTTCCATCGACTGAGTAAATCTCAGTTCTTTGCCATTTTGTTCTGTGGATTTAGTCCCTGTTCCCTGTATATTCTGTGCTTGTTTCTAGTTTTTGGTTTGTATTTAATAGAAATATTTTAAATTGTGACAATACAACAGTAAGTTCAGTCACAGTAAAATATGTATGTGTGACATAAAAGTGAATATATTTTAACATTTTTTTAAATTAAGGCATGAAAAAGCTGAGGTACTCAATTTATAATTTTTCTCAAGCCGAGTAGAATCTAATACATGATATCAGTTGGTTGTTGTCACCTTCAAAAGGCAATGAATGCTTCATGCTTTAAAAAGTATTATTCAGAAGGCAGACATGATGGTGCAATACCTGAGTGGCAGAGGCAGTTGGATTATCAAAAGTTTGAAGCCAACCTGGTCTATGAAATGGAGTTCTAAACCAGCCAAGGCTACATAGTGAGGCCATTTCAAAAAAAATAAATAAAAGTATAATATTCAGTATCTTTAGCACAAACTAAGAACATATTAATTTAGTACAACCTTTTTGAAGATAGGATATAAAAGATTAAGGTGGACATTTCCCACTTTCAGATGGAGTTCACTGCAAGAGACTGTGAAGATAGATTTCCAATAAAGTGGAAACGTGCTCTGCTATTATAGAGTACAAAATGTTCATGGAAATAATTTAATGAGCACTGAGTCATCGTGTGTGTCTAAACTGTAGGAGCAGCTTGTTAATTGTATATAAAAACCTGAAGATTGAAATCCATGAATGTAGAATGACTTTGTTCATTCATGTGTGTATTCATTCATAATTTCTTGGAATTCCTTAATCTTTAAAATATGTTTTAAACTGGTGTAAGGATAGTATCTGTTGAAAAAATAATACCGTTTTTTAAAAGTAGTGTCCAAATGAAATTGTTGGTTGTTTGTCACAGGTAGTTAAGTGATTTTTGTATGTGTGGGAAGAAGGAAGATACTGAGAACTGAATCCAGGATCTTGAGCATTCTAGGCAAATGCTCTGTGTCTGAGGCCTCAAGCCCTTTCTTTTTACTTTTCATTTTGAGACAGGGCCTTAAAATGTTGCCCAGGCTAACCTTGAGCTTACTATCCTGGGTAGGTCTTGAACTTGTGATCCTCTTGCCTAACTTGAGATGGAACTCTAGAGATGACAGAGTATGTTGTGGATTGACTCCGGGTGTGGGGTACATTCTCATGTGGTAAAATGTAGACATGAAGTGAGGAACTAAAGGACTTGTCCTACTAAGTTGTAGAGCTACAATATGAGCTTGGATATTCTCTCTTCTCTCTGTCTCTCACTGTCTCCCTCTCCCTCCCTCCCTCCCTCCCCCCTCCCTCCCTCTCTCTCTCTCTCTCTCTCTCTCTCTCTCTCTGTCTCTCTCTCTCTCTCTCTCTCTCTCTCTCTCTCTGTCTCAAGGCAGGAGGGGCTCACTGCATAGCCCTAGCTGGCCTAGCACATTCTGTGTACACTAGGCTGGCCTCAACCTCCCAGAGATCCATCTGCCTCTGCTTCTCAAGTGCTGGGATCAAATGTGTGAGTTACCATACCTGGAAACACTCACATCTCACTGCAGATTATTCTTGTAATTAGTCAAGATCGAGTCGGAAGTAAAAAAAAAGGATACCAGAATTCAAGCAGAAGTAATGTAAAAATATATTAGCTAATAACTAAAAGAAGAGTCTCTAAAAAATATGAGTATAAGCCAGATGGTCAAGTGGGTAAAGTCACCTGCTGCCTAGCCTGCAGCCTGAGTTTTGTCCCCTAGACCTACATGGTAAAGGGAGAGAGCTGACTCCTTCAAGTTGTTCTCTGACCTACACACATTCTGTGACATGTGCCCCTCCCCAGGTAGTGAATTGTAACTTTAAAGAAAGTATGTGAGAACAACCAATAACATAAATCAGAGGGAGAACAGCCAAGGGAGGACATCCTGACACACCCTCCTAAACACCTTTTCCCCTGCACTAAATGGGTTTTGCTTGGCTGGAGTCCCTGAGTAGAGAAGTGCACTGAGCTGCCATGAAAGAGGGCCAAAAGGCATCTGCTTGGAAATTGAGACTTTCTGGATAAGACTGGGGAGTGGGTGGAGGGTGACTACCAGTACCCACTGGCACCTCTGACAGACGGGGAGCACCACCAGCATCAGGGAGATAAGCACCTGCCTGTGCAGTCCCACTCCAGTGGTGTATGTGGCAGGCAGGTTCCTGTGGGTCTGTACGCAAACACCATTGCACAACTAATAGGACCGAGGAATTCTAAGATGTGCTATACCTTGTTTACATGTGCCGCTTCAGTTTCAGTTTTCAGCTCAGTTAGGAGCCATGCAGCATCTAAAAGACCAGCTGGAGCAGCGGACACGGATGATAGAGGCGAATATTCATCGGCAACAAGAAGAACTAAGGAAAATTCAAGAACAGCTTCAAATGGTCCATGGTCAAGGGCTTCAGGTAACTTATTCTGAGCATAGAGAATCTCATTCATATTTTGGGTTCCTAAAAACTGCCCCCTGCTTTTTTTTTTTTTTTTTTTTTTAATGAAAAGTCAGGTTACTACCTGTTTAATAGCATAGAGCCTCCAAAGATACCCATTCCTAAAACATTGCTATCAGCAGCATTTTTTAAACTAGTGAACTCCAAATTTTAGTTAAGTTCAAAAACATATATAAAAGTTTCATACAACCTTTGAGGTAGAGAGTGTATAATAGTTTTAGTAAAATGCCAATAGATATGATTCATATTACTTGATTGAGACACTGTACTCATTACTTTGACTAGCAGGGCCACCCAGGGCACTAGGGCTTTGCTGAAGGGAAACTAGGTGAATCCTGCATACTGTCAGAAACTTTGAGTGACAGATAATGCAAAGCTGCCCCAGCAGCCCTTTGAGAAGCACTGAGTTGATTTTGTGGGTGAGTGAGTGTGTACCATCATATTATTGCTAATTGTTCACTTGAAATGCGCTGATAGCTGTTAGCTTCTTTTTGCTTGATTTCTTTTGGTGTTCTCCTTGCTCCTTGGTCTTTTTTCTATAAAGCTTATTTAGGCTGGGAATGTAGCTTATTGACAGAGTGTTTACCTAAAATGCTTGAGGCCCCTAAGTTTGATTCCCAGCACCCCTGCAAAAAATGTAATTAAAAATAAGGGGTGTGTAGGCTAGAGAGATGGCTCAGAGGTTAAGAACACTGGCTACTCTTCCAAAGGTCCTGAGTTCAATTCCCAGCAACCACATGGTGGCTCACAATCATCTGTCATGAGATCTGGTACCCTCTTCTGGTGTGCAGACAAACATTGTATACATAATAAATAAATTAATCTTTAAAAAAATAAGGGGTGTATGTGTGAGAGAGAGGGAGGGAGAGAGGAAGAGAGCAAGAACGTGCATTTTGTACCGAAGAATATATGCAAAAGTCAGAAAATAACTTTTGGGACCATGCTCTTTTCTTCCACTGTGGGATCAGGGAGCAAACTCAGGCTTCGGGCTTGTACAACAAGGTGATCCTTCCTGCCAAAGAAATTTCATTGAAATGTAGCCTTTATTTTCAAAGATGTTTTTGCAGCAATCAAACTCTGGATTGAATTTTGGTTCTGTTCAACTTTCCTCTGGGAATTCTAATATCCAGCAACTCACACCTATAAATATGCAAGGCCAAGTTGTTTCTGCTAGCCAGATTCAAAGTGGAATGAATACTGGGCATATCACCACAAGCCAGCACATGATACAACAACAGACTTTACAAAGTACTTCAACTCAGGTAACTGGCTAAAATACCTATTTAAAGCTCTGTGTTGATCAGATTTTAAATTTTAATAAAAATTAGAACATTTAATGTTGACAGTGATCATTAAAATATTTTATGGAGAATATGTTAACTATTAAATATTTTGATACCAGTTTTGTGGTTTAAGGACATAGTTTAATAATTATGTCAGCTTCTTATAGTGTGTGGGCTTTCTGTGTGTAGAAAGTCTTTGATTTCCAAAAGAGTCTTGAGTAGTAAGCATACTGAATAGAATGTTGGGGAAGTAAGAAGTTTAATCATTCCATAGAATTCTGGTAACTAATTTGTGTACATCTGTTATTTTATTTGAAAAACATACAGATGTGTGAGCATTTCTGACTTGCTTTGTGCATTTAATAGACATCTTCTCTGTACATTTTCTACTTCCCTTTTAAGACCATGCTCTTTTTAAAGTCTTAGTTTAACCTTCCATCAAAGAATCCAGACTAAGTCAACTACTCCAAATCAGTCTTTGCTCTATTTCTATCAGAATAATAGATTTTGCTAGTCCTTTTCTGTTCTGTCAGCCATTGTCCTATAACTGTTAGGAAATCTCTATAAATCCTTCTCTCCAGCAGAGTCAACAGAGTGTCATGAGTGGACACAGTCAGCAGACATCTCTTCCGAACCAGACGCCAAGTACTCTCCCAGCCCCATTGTACAATACGATGGTGATCTCTCAGCCTGCGGCTGGGAGCATGGTCCAGATTCCATCCAGTCTGCCCCAGAACAGTACACAGAGTGCTACAGTAACTACGTTCACTCAGGACAGACAGATAAGGTGCTTGTCATTCTTCATTTATTATTTTTCACAACCTGTATGGGCTCGGTGATTAAGATACTCTTCCAGAAATAGGAGTTCAGTTCCCAGAACTCACCGTCAGCAGGTCACAACACCTTAACTCCAGCTGCAGAGGTTCTCATGGCTTCTTCTGGCCTCCTCTGTGCCACCATGCATGTGGCAGACACAATAAAAGAAAATCATGAAAACAAATATATAAAGATGTACATATATGGGCTAGCGATACGGCTCAGGAGAACAGAACTTGCCTGGCATGGACAAGACCCTCAGTTCATTCCTCAGTATTAACTTTCTTCTCCAAAACCAATAATTTTATTTTTTACATCCTTTATTGCTTCCTTTACCCATTCTTTTAAGATTTGAAATGAATACTATATCTATTATTAAAGACTTAACAGAATAACATCAAAATTTACTTTCCACCCCAAACTGGGCTGTCAGATATAAAACTACATTTTGTACTGACTGTCAACAAGGCTCTAACAGGCTCTTTACAAGTGCAGCTTGGGTGTTAGTAAAGATCCTGAGAGAGCAATAGTGGGGTAGTAGATAATTTTTTCTTTTCAAAGTGTTCCATTTTAAGAAAATAAACATGGGTATCTTCCTTCATTTCCCCTTATCTCAGGTGAAAAAATGCGTGTTCTTAATAGTTTGGCTAAGTGCTGTGGCAGAGGAGATGGCTGTGAACTTAGTTTGTTTCAGAGCTTAGGTGCTTTGAACTAAGCAACTGTGTCTTGAGTGATAAGTCTGAGTAGCTGAATTAGAAACAATTTCTTGCATAAATAAAGTTTGCTTGGAAGCTGTTTTTTAACTCTAGGATCTCTGTGGAGTAAATACATGATCTGAAATCATTTTATGTTTTTATTGCCTTCACTACATGTGTGCTACTGCTTACATATTTTGCTGTTGTAGTGAATATTATGATTTTTCAGATAACAATAATGTTCAGACCGAGGATGCTACAAGGTTATATAGACAGTGAAAGCAGAGAATCTGTTGTTCCTTGGAGCTCAGCTTCCTCAACTTAAAAAGTCCAACCTTAGTGTTCACATTCTTGGGGAAGTCTTATGAATGCACTATCAGAATGCCCTCTGGGGGTTGATTTTTGTTGGTGGATGTTTTGTTTTTGTTGCTTATGATTGAACCCAGAGCCCTCTCTGCCTGCTAGGTATACACAGTGCTGCCATTGATGTACATCTCCAGCCAGAAATGATTTTAAAGCCTGAGAAGAAAGGCATTAAACTAGAATACTGACATGCATTTTGGAGGATGCATTTTAGCAACCATTTGTAAATATATGGGGGGGGGCAGGCAGGGGAAGAAGGATCGTATTTCAAAAGAATAACCAGCTCACATATATTTGGTGTGATAAATATTTGTCAGACTTTATAGGGGAGCAGATGAATTTTATTGGTTGAAGCAAGCAAATAAAAAGTGTAGTCAGGGAAACCTTTGTGGAGATGCTTGTTGGCTTATGTCTTAAAGAAACATGGCATGAGGTTTGTGTGTGGAGAGTTCAGAGAGGCATTATAGCAGAGAAAATAACTACATGTCCAGGTGAGGACACCAGATGAAGATTAAAGAATGTATGTGGTCCAGGGGTGGTTAGAGTAATCCTTGCACATCTGTTGGTGAGTTGCTGGGTTTATTCACCATGACAAAGAAGTTGGCACTTAGCACATCCATGACAAAACAGACTGTAATCATTGTTTCTTTGAACTTTATTTGTGTAGAAATTTTGAGTTTGTGTTTTATTTCTTTGGTTTATTTTCCTTTGGCACCCATGCATTTGGTCCTGAAGTCTACATACTACAGAATTTAATTTTTAATATCTGACATGAGTTAGTTATACGTTATTTTTAAAGGACTGGGGATTTGATTGTTGGTAGAGTGTAAGCAAAGGGTTCAATCCTTAGTGCTGCAAAAATAAGTAAACAAAAGTAAATGTTTTGGTCACATTGATTATATTAATGACAAAGTGCATGTGTGCACTAAACTTAGTGCTGTTTTGAATTTGAACTTGTGCTGCAGTTATGTCCTCTGCCTGAAATAGCCATGTCTTCATGTTAGTGTTAAGTTGGTGTTAGGAGTGACCTCCATCTCACAGAAAAGGCAGAGAAGGGAGAAGAGTGGAAGAGAAGAAACAGGAGTAAATTATAGCCAGAAGGAATAGTCTGTTGATAAATTTCACTTTGATTTATCCTGAAAATGTCATTTTTCTTACATTTATAAAATAAAACCTTGAGTATAATTTTCTACAAATGTAAAGTTTTTTTAAAAATTATTTTGTAGTAGTTGTAATTTCCTCATGAATTATTGCCATTGTAGTAAATGAACCATGTCCACCATATATTTAACTTCTAAGTACCTTGCCATTTTATTTTTTTTACCTTGCCATTTTTATAAGTTAACCTTTATAGATAGAAAATTTTTAAAACAACAAGAACTTCCTTATTAACCATTTTCAAGTGTCTATACTGTGGCCTTGAGTCTATTACCCTCAACCATGTTCAGAACATTTTCATCTTTCCAAATTGAAACTCATCAAACAACTCCTTAACTTCTCTGCCTTTTGCTTTTGGCAACCACCATTCTGTTTCTGTTTATATAAATTTGACTGCCTGAAGATAACTACGTATAAATTAATTACCAAGTAATTTGTCTTTTTGTAACTGGTTTATTTCACTTAATATAATATTCCTGGGGCTCGTCTGTGTTTTCACACACAGGATCCACTTTAATGCTAAGTATTCGTCTGTATGTAGCATTTCCTTAGCTATTCTGCCTGTCAGTGGATACTGGGTTGCTTCCATACTTTGGCTACTATGAATAAATACAACTATGCACAATAGCATACTTGTGTCTGAGCCCCTGCTTTCATTTTGCTTTGGGCTCAGTGCTCAAAATGGAATTCTTGTAATTATTTAAGGAACTGTCACAGGGCTGTCCCAATTAGTTTTTTGTTTTGTTGTTTGTTGTTTTTTTCAGCTTGACACAAGCTAGAGTTTTGGGAAGAACCTCAGTTGAGAAAATACCTCTATCCTATTGTCTGTAAGCAAATCTGAAGGGCATTTTCTTGATGAATAACTAATATGGAAAGGCCCTGCCTATTATGGGCAGTGCTGTTCCCCCAGCATTTGGTTCTGGGGTGTATAAGAAAGCCCCTTTCTCTGTGGTCTCATCTTGAGTTACTCCCTCAGTTTCCTGCCTTGGCTTCCCTCAGTGGCCTGTGACTTGGAATTGTAAGCCAGATAAGCCCTTTCCTCCTCGTGTTGCTGCTGTTTGGTTGTGGTGTTTTATTATAGCAATAGAAAGCAAATTAAGAAGTAGTTTTCCTACTCTGTAATACTTGTCCCGATTGCCATACAGTGACTTTCCATTGTTGTTTGAATTTTTATTTCTCTAATGACAGGTTTAGTGAGGACTTTTTTTAATGTGTCTCTTGGCTGTTTGGTTTTTTTTTTTTTTTTTTTTTTTTTTTTTTGGAAGTAAAAGGTTTAACTTTTGTCCAGTTTTTAAATGTGTTGAATATTGTTTGGTTAAACTTAATGTTATCCAGTTGATTTTTTTTTTTTTTTTTTTAATGTTACCTACCTGTGCTTTTGGTATTGTCAGTGAGATTGTTTGCCAATTCCAATATCATGAAGCTTGTGTGCTGTTTTTTTTTTTTTTCCTAAGAGCTTTGTAGTTTATATCTTATGTTTAGATCTTCTTCATTCTCAGCTAATTTTTATATGTGATATGAAAGGTCCTTCATTATCTTGAATATGAATATCTTTAAAAGTTGTTTTGCTAGCTGGACCTTGATTGCTAATTTTTATATGTGATATGAAAGGTCCTTCATTATCTTGAATATGAATATCTTTAAAAGTTGTTTTGCTAGCTGGACCTTGATTGCACACACCTTTAATCTCAACACTCAGGAAGCAGAGGCAGGTGGATCTCTGTGAATTCAAAGCCGGCCTGGTCTACAGAGTGAGTTCCAGGACAGCCTCCAAAACAATACAGAGAAACCCTGTCTCAAAAAAAAAAAAAAAAAAAAAAAAAAAAAAAAAAAGAAAAAAAGAAAGAAAAAAAAAAGGTTTGCTGTGTCTCATTTTGTTGTAAAATCAGATATATATATATGGTTTGTTCTTTGATATCTCAAAGAAAACGTTCTTTAAAATTGTTTTTGGTGCTGGAGATTGACCCCAATATGCTATGCAAGCACTCTACCACTAAGCTATGTTTCTAGCCTCCAAGGAGATTCTTTGAAAACAGAAACTAGGAACATGCTTTTATGAAATAAACTATTTCATTGGGTATTATCTAAGATAAATATTTAGCTGACTGAGTTTGCTTTGTCCTTTTGACACAATTTCTTTGTTTTCTCTCACAGATTTTCTCAAGGTCAGCAACTTGTAACCAAATTAGTGACTGCTCCTGTAGCTTGTGGGGCTGTCATGGTACCAAGTACCATGCTTATGGGTCAGGTGGTGACTGCCTATCCTACCTTTGCTACACAACAACAGCAGGCACAGACATTATCGGTATCTCAGCAGCAGCAGCAGCAACAGCAGCAGCAACAGCAGCAGCAGCAGCAGCAGCAACAGCAACAGCAGCAGCAGCAGAGCTCCCAGGAACAGCAGCTCCCTTCAGTTCAGCAACCATCTCAGGCTCAGCTGACCCAGCCACCACAGCAGTTTTTACAGGTACATGTCCCCGTGAGGAAGTTGTCTTGAGCTGGTAGCCTATTTCATAACCAAGTAAGTTGTTTGTTAAGGACTTTGAAAATCTGTAAAAAGCTTATTGTAGGGTTTAAATATCTACAGAAATAGAAAGCTTGTCCTGATTGGCTGTTTTATCTTCTTTGTCTTGGAAAGCTTTTAAAGCCTTGCTTAGCCACACTTAGTTATCTGAACTTCTGGCTAGAGTAAGCAGCCCTACTTCCTGACTATCAGGTCACTTACTGAGCTTATTTTCTCTCTGAGGCTAGTATTTCTAGAATGTAGTAAAAAGCCCTGTGTTCTTCTTTCTTAGATACATCAAACAGTACTCTTCATTGGGAAGGGACATTAAAAAGGATCCCTTTGTCAGCCTAGGAGTTACCTTATTCATCAGATTAAATTTATTAGATTGTGGTTTTGTCATGTGTTCCTGCCTGGCCTGGAACTCACAGAGATCTTCCTGCCTCTGCATGCTGAGATTACATGTACTACTATGTACTACTATGCCAGATTATCATAATTTTCTTGTTAAAAATAAATGTCAGAGGAGAAATTCAGTGTAGGTGCAGTATAGTTTATGATTAGAACTAAAGTCAGGGTGCCCTCAATTGAGTAATTGCTATACCACATACACATGACCTTTGGCACAGAACTTAAACTTGTCAAACCTCATTGATAATTGAGAAGTAATAATAGTTCATACTTCATGCCTTTTTTTTAAAGCATATAAATTGCTAAATACACTGTAAAGTATGTAGCTAGCTATCATTGATCACCATGATACCAGCAAATATAATAAGACATCCATATTCATGATAAACTCACACAGATATCGTGTGGATAAATCGTACAGAATCTGCCTATCTGTAGGTCCAGAAGAAAGTTTCCTGGCTCAGGGTCCTCAACAAAGAACCAACAGAATTGGTTTCTAGACTCTGCTATTGGAAGACCTTGGTTTCTCTATGAGGGCCCATCTGGGCTAGGTGGAATACTTATTTTGGTAATGTGGAATAACAAAACAGCCTCATTGCTTAAATATTGCTAAGTCAGACCCACAGGCTTTAAGACTGAACTACTACAATTAATAACTAGGTCAGTTATTACTACAAATAATAACACCAGTCTTAGGCCATTATTTAGGTGAAACATATAAAATCACCAGTGAGAATTAGACAAAAGCTTTAAAAAAATGTGATTTGCCTTAAGTTGTCAGTGTTCTAAATATATCAAGGAAGACAAGCCCTTAAAAAGAGTCAACATTTGGGACCAGGGAGATGGCTCAGTAAGTGAAGGTGTAGTCTCCTGAGCCTGATTCCCTGAGCTCAGTCTCAAGTTCCCACAAGGTGGAAGTAGAGAACTAACTCCTACAAGTTGGTCCCTGACTTCCACGTGTAAAATCTAGCAGGTGCACATCCATACACAATAAATACATTTATAAAACGGACATCCTCTTCTTCCCTGCCCCCCACAAACATGCATCCCCAAAGCATAAGAACAACCATAAAATTATTAGATAGGCAGTGCTTTTCATAACATATTTATTTAGATAATAAATACATAACTTGGCTTTTCTAGTGGACCTCTGTTTGAAAAAGTACTTGGGTTCTAATCCCTTTGTCTTGCAAAGACTGTTCAAGTAACAAATCAAGAAGGAAAATTGTAAAGGTCCTTGGTAAGTTTTCTCATCTTTAGGTTTAGGTCTGTCCTTGTGTTTGTGTACATACGTTTCCTTCATACACATGTGCAAATGTCACTTACCCATACTAGCTTCAGCTTAATTTTGCAATAAGTGCATTGTTTTCCAGAAGTGCTTTACTTGAACATTCTCCCTTTCTTTTAGCTAGTCCCTTTTTTGTACCAGAGTTACAGACAAGCAACCAGAAGTCAACTGAGGTGGAAAAAAAAAAAAAAAAAACAGAGGCTTTCAGGGTCAGACTAGTAATGGCAAACCGTTCTGTGTTTGGGGAGGGATTGTTTTGTTGTTTGAATTTTGTTACCTCACATAGCCACCTAGGACTTCAGTTTTAGCCTTTTTCTATAATATCTGTACAAACTCAGCATAGTAGACACTTGTGTGTCTGGCTGAGGCTGGGAGTACACAGTTTGGCAGACACATCTACAGGTGGACTAGCTCAAGTTAACCCAAGACTACTAAAAGCCTTGCTTTTCAAACTGCTCCGGTGTGTGTGTGTGGGGGGGGGGGGTCCACAAGTGTGTGCAAGTGCAAGTGTATGGAGGTCAATAGTCAAGCTCAGGTTCTCTTCCTTAGTCTGCTCTCAAAAGGACCTGAGGTTCACTTAGTAGCTTAGGTTGGCTGACTAGTGAGCCCCAGGGACTCTCCTGCCCCTACTTCACCCATACTGGGATTACAAGCACTTTATAGACGGAGGGAGCTATTTGCTTGATTCTTTACCAGCAGTCAGACCTGTGTGCAGATGGCATTGTCTGTCTGAGCAGGGAGTATTCCTGCCTTAACAGACATAACTGTGCTGCAGTTTTCTGCTTAAAAATTGGGCCTATAGGAAATAAAGTAAAAATATGTGGTTTGTCTCAGCACAAATTCCTTTAAAAAAAAAAAATAAACTTTGTTAAGCTTTCAGAAAGAAGGTAAGGCTGCTGTTTTCCAAAAACAGTTTTAGATTAGCAAACAAAATGAGAATTTAAAACTCTTGTTCCTATGGACAGTAGGCCGTGCGAATGAACAATGGGAAGGCACAGAACCATGCTGTATAACTCTTTTTTTTTTTTTTTAGACATCTCGGTTGCTCCATGGGAATCCTTCAACTCAGCTCATACTCTCTGCTGCCTTCCCACTACAACAGAGCCCTTTCCCTCCGTCACCACATCACCAGCAACACCAGCCTCAGCAGCAACAGCAGCATAGTCGGCACAGGACTGACAGCCTGACTGACCCTTCCAAGGTCCAGCCACAGTAGCACACACACTTCCTCTCTGACACTAGAGAGGAAGGGGATGGCCAGAAAGCTACTTGGATGACAAACAGTTACAAGTTTAGTAGTTCTGTGAGGGTGGTAGTGAGTGTTCCAGTTCCTGGATTAGTTGGTAGGAAAATGCTGCCCAGTGCTACAGATGTACATTAAATACCAGCCAGTGGGAGATGATTGTAGGGACATGGCCAATTCTGACAGTTTCTTTGCCCAGATATTTTTTTGATGGATAAAGAGTATATTGCCAAATGTTAACAAGCTCAACTATCATGACCTTTACCGAATCAGAAAAGCACTAACAATGTTGGTAGCTTTTAGTGGTTCTGTGCCTGGTATCAAATGTTACAGAGGACACACCACTGCCAGGGGTTTGCTTAGATTGCCATGAAGATAGTCCAGTAGTTAGTAGTCCCCACCCCCAACTCCACCCTGCTCAGATCATGATGGAACAGTGATTACTTTCAGAATGTTGTGCAGGTTTGAATTCTTTTTGTATAGATGCTATATAGATATGTATGTGCCTGGACGGATGGATGGACGGACAGACGGAGAGAAAGACTGTGTACACAGCTTGAACGCATTATCTGTCCCTTACAGGTGTGAGTACATTTCATTAGATTTTGACACCACGTACAAACTGGTAATAGCTTCTCTTTCATTTTGTTTACAACATAATAGTGTTCTAGTCACTTTTTCCAGGGCACCTTTTGTTCGTGCTTTGGCTGTGATGTCACAGTTTGTTCAGTGAGGTACAGTGTGCTGCTGGGGATGGATTTTCTTTTTCTTTTTTTTTTTCAAGTTAAATTATTGCTACATTTCCACTTACTCAGAAATATCCCTTATTATTTTTCAATTATGTTTGAAAAAATAGAATTGCACTGCTTTATTTTAGATGGTTGGTTGAAAGTTTGATCACATATTTTGATATATTTCGTAGTTGGAATATTTATGTAAATGGTTTTCAACAAGCCTGAAAGTGATTTCAAGAATGTTTCAGTTATAAGAGTAAAATTTGCACACAAATATTTTAGGCACTTTTTAAACATTCTCAGTGGTGGGAATTTTAACTTTTAGGATTTGTTGGAATCTTTTTATTATCCTTAAAAATTTCAATGCTTCTTTTAGTCAAAATGATTCAGGGTTATTTGAGGGGAAAAAACCCATAGTGCCTTGATTTTAATTCAGGTGATAACTCACCGTCTTGAATTCATTGTCTGGTTTCAGTAGCAGTTTTGAAACCTTAGTACATTTTTAGCAGCATGTGGGTCTCAGTGTTACTCTCAAGCTCCCAAGAAGACTGCTGCAACTATCATAGTTGTTAATGTGATCCCAGAATTGTTTCCAAATTAGTATCTTCCTTTAAAGTAGTCAGTCCTTTAAGAATTACCAGTAAATACTTGCTCAGAGTAAGAGGGTAGAAATTGTCTTTAACGTTCACCGAAACACTAGAATGGTATAACTCACATGCTTTCTAAACATGAATTAAGATTTCATCTGGCAATATCATACTCTATAGGTAATAAACTCCAACAAAGTTACATGGATTTTAAAAAGCATTTTTTTTTTAGATTTTTATGGTACTAATAATGAAATTTGCAATTGTAGAACAAAAATTGAAAATAGATATAAAACATTACTGAGAAAAGGGAGGACAAGTGTGACAAATTAGAATTGACCTTAAAAGAAAGTGTGTAAAGAGTGAGGCTGCTCAACAGAGGTTTTCAGCAGTGAAAGTCACCTAATGCAAACTCGCTAGGTAAGGACTCTGGGGAACGAGGAGTCAGTTATCTGTCCTCAGCTTTGTTGTCATCCTTAAGTGTGTCTGTTTTCCTGTTTACCTGGATGCAGTTAAGTTAGAAAGTTAGTGGTGAAAAAGAAAACAACCAAAGAAAATTGGTACCTGCCCTTCTGCAAAAGAAATGTGGCTAGATACCAGTCAGTAACTAACATATCATGGAGTTCTAATGGCTGACATTCATATGAATTCCCCGAAGAGTTGTGAGAATACATAAACATGCAAGCTTATACACATGTGATGAAATTGCTTTTCTCCCCTTCCAAATTGCCTTCTTGATCTTATGCCATTCCATGCCATCTGAGTTGTGCCTCATCCATTTTTTGGCAATACCTAGTGATAAGGATTTAGCTAACAGGAGATATAACATACTAATTATGTAATTCCTATTCTTTATAGTTCATCTTCCTGCTTAAAAGCAGTTGATAAAGGAGCACCTAGCCATTGACTTTGCTGTCCACATGGAGAGTTGTACTGGGCAACACCAGCTGCCTCTCAGCTCCTTAATTCTTTGTTTCTTTGGATTGCAAACTGTTCTTGCCTGCTTCCATTCTGATGAAGATACACCTGTTGCCCCTGTTGCCTGTTCTTCATTTTCTATAGCCAAAGTTGTTGACTGAAACCCCAAATCTAAATCATGAAAAGATACCAAATAGAAACACTCCTCAGTTTCTTATAAACCCTAATGTCCCCTGCTCTTTAAAATTTTAATTCTGGGCAGCACTTTTTAGTTAAGAAATTGTTAGGGTGCTGGTCAAGTAGGTTCTCATTGCCCTGCAGGTACCTTGCTATGGGCTGCTTCCACATGGGGTGTTGCTGATCATGTGGGATAAGAACAGTAAATCGCAAAGCTGCTCTTGAGGATGGCTTCAAACCAGAACTCAGACATGGAAAAGTACTCTTCCCTTCCTTAGAACAGTAACTATGGGGGGAGGGGAAGTGGATGTGGTAGGCGGAGCTGCATGCAAATAAGCACTACAGTCCTTCCCCCAAGCTACATCCTAAATATAAGCAGCTTCTCGTGGCTTAGGAATGCACTACTAAAAGAATGCCAATGACTGAGTAGTTTGTGATAGAAAACAATGTGCAAATTAGTGAGTGAGTGAGTTCTGTGTGCTGTGGTTGGTCATTGCCTTAAAGCAATCTCTTGAACCTTGGAGCACTGAAGCAGTCCAGCTGTATAAAGGGCATCGGGTTGAGGGAGATGAGCCCTTGTTCTGGCCTTAGAAAGGGATCCTGTTGTCTACAGAGGTAGATTCTCTTCACTTAGATATTACTGGGTTAAAGTGTTTCCACTATGTTGAGGCTTTTTTTTTTTTTTTAAGTGGAACAGAGATAGCATTTTTAGTATTTCGTTTTTCTGTTTCTTTGGTGATTAAAGATTTGTTGGTAAACATTGTTCAAGCCTACTACCTTTCCAGTACCTGTGGGCCTGTTCTTAGCACCACGGAGTCCATATTGGAAGGTATAAACACTGGATATTAATATCGATGAGGGCATATTGCCAGGAACGAGCTGACTGGAATTTTTCAGTGGTGGAGAAGGAACAGCACAAAGGCACTTGCCGTTTTCATAGTAATTAGAGAAAAACCTTTTAAGTATGTCTGGACTGAGTGAACACTCTTATTCTAAGAGGAGCTTGTGAAGTAAAATGCAAAGGAAAAGAGTTGACTATTTTTATAGCATATTTAATATATTTGTATATAACTATGAGTGTAGTAGGAACCCTCCACCTGCCTCCCACTTTTCTAGCTCCCCCTCCCCCCGCCATAGCCCTAGTACAGCCTCATCCGCATGGGTAATGTGCCTATTGTCAGCCTACCTACCAAAAGATAGAGCTGCTGCTTTTTGAGACAGGTGAGATGAGACTCTCATGCCTGGGGATCCTTTATGGGAGGAATAGCACACACTTAGAACAACATACCACAGTTTAAAAGCATCATTTGAAAGGTAATAAGCACTTTATTGCAATTATCCATTTAGATAAAGTTTGTATCTTAGGTATTAACCGTTTTTAAAGGATCCCCTAATCATCACTTAGGTGAATTTATAAATGACACATTTCTGAGAAATGTATAGAGCCAGTGAACCGTAGCAGGTTTATGGGAGTGATTTCAAGGTAGCCAAATAAACTCTGACTTTTGTTTTGAATGTGGTGGGGTCGGGAGATTGTAGATGCGTAGTTCCATTTAAACACTATTGTAAACCTATCTTGCCTATTGTGTGGACACCAAAAGAGACCAATGAGCCTGTTTCTTCTCAGAGCTCTAGGAATATGCATCTGTCTGAGTAGACATACAGAACTAATCTATAAATGGTTGGTAGTAATATTTTAGGATACAGTAATTTCAAGAATTTGAGTGTTTTAAATGTGTCCTGAAATGTTGGCATGTCATTTCAGTGTCTCCATTGAGTTGCTCTTGTAATATTTTTGCACAAAAAGGACTGAGAAAGATTGCTTTGGTTGAAGAAAACTATAATTTGGTCTTAATGTCTCCTGTGGAAACACTGGAGGTAAATTTTGTTGGTATAGTTACTAATTCAGGATATTTAAAACAGTGTTGAAGAACTCACCAGAAATTAAGCAAACTTATATTTAAAAATTAAAATTCTTTTTTTCCACGTGACTGTTTTGCATATTTTTTTCCGTTGCCATGCACTACATTCCTTGTTTTTCTCAAATAATACTTTGAAAGAAGAGTGTTTAACAATACTAAGCTGCCTGGGTTTCCCCAGGAAATATCCAGTGAACTAGATTGTAGTTGTATATAGTTTGTGGAAGCTATTGAGATTCCCATCAACACCACCAGCAAACACTGAGGTGCTGACCTAAGCGACAATCATTATAGTAAGTGGCTGTGTATTTATTTATATTTGTATCTCTGCATTTGGTCTGTGTTTAATTTATGGTCAGTTTTGTTTTGCATCTGATCTTGTCCTTGAGAACTGGCTTTTGTTTGAGGCCATTGTTATCCTGCTCCCTCCTCCAATGACTCCTCTGACAGGTAACTGGAATCCATTGTACATCAGGATGGCAGTGGAGGGTCACCCTCAGCATCCCTGCACTTCCCTCCTGCTCTGAACTCATTTAAGGAAAAAAATGTTAAAAGGTAACTCCTTTCAGCCCTGCTTTATTACCTTACTCTAACCTTTTTCTAGTGTCACTTGTTGCCTTCTGTTTTTCATGGGCACTTTGTGTATAGTTACTTCCCAAGAACAAAGGCCAGTATGACAAAACCAAGGGCACATGTTGCATGCTGCCTTTTTTTTTTTTTTTTTTTTTTTTTTTTGCCTATGTGGGGAAATGCTAGCAAAATAGTGTCTTTTAATAGCTGTCACCATTGTACCCATGTAGCGAGTACATATAGTTGGGCAATGTATGCACTTCAAAAAGTCGGTTAATTTCCAGGCCTCCATAGCCAGCACTGTCTAGTAAAGCAGTGCTTGAGCATGGTGTTGAGGACCTTTCCTGCTCACTTTAGCACTCGTGGCTTTGGAGTCTGACGGGTAGGGTCTAGCTCACAGGGACTCCTTGAACAGTAATTAAGGTAGAAGCAGACACAAATGGAGTTTAATTACACAAAAGGTGTTTGACTCTGAGGAGGGTAAAATACACCATTTTTAGATGTATGCTTTTACGTGAGAGAAAACAAACTGTGACATTGCTTTAAAAATGACATTCAAATGATTTGTGTTTGAGTTAACCTATACTGGTTCAAGTTTATTACTGACAATGGTTCTAAGAATACTACAAAGCTAAAATACAGGAAAAACTGTTATCTTTAAGTTGATGTATGACTAAACAATCATCTTCGAGCAAAAACATTGCCCCCAAAAACTCCCTTATTAAGCAATGGATGTGTCAGCCAGAGTGACTGGAATTGAAACAATTGTAAAATTATTTTGAAATTTATTTTACTGTGGATTAAGCTGGAGAAGGCTCTAGTATAACACTTTCATATTCACCCTGTGTAGACTGCAGCCCAAAGACAAGTTAAATTAGTGCTGTGCTAAAACCAGTTAGTGCAAAAATTATGTCTTTCTCTCTGTAAACTTTGTTAGATTAGTTAGTGGTTGTGTAAACATGAACCAGTCTTTGCTGTTCCATGTGGTTCCTGCTGTGCTATTGTTGACATTGCTGTCCTTACTGCTTGGTTCTGAGTTTAAATTAAGGCAAGAATAGACATAGCTTATCCTTTCCAGCTCCAAAGGGAGAAGGGCATGTGGCTACTGATAGCCACATATGAGTACTCCCCCCCCCCCCAAAAAAAAAGCAAGCATTTAATTGAAATAAATTTATTTTTAAAAAGGCTGGCATTCTTTCAGGCATTGGCCTCTTGCTAAAATCCTAAACTCCACAGAAGCATGATGGCTAGTGAATGGTTTCAATGGTGCTAATATTAGGTCCCCTGGTTTTCAAAAGCTTTGTTTGGAAATACAACATTGAATGAAATGTGGACTCTTGTTTCCAGCTGAATACTTGTCATCAAGTCTGATACAATTGGCTATACTTGGTTATCAAAGCTACCCCTTTAAGAAATAAAAGTGTGTTACCAGCATGCCTTCACTCAGGCCTCTTGCTATATGATGTGCACAGCTTTACTTAAAATCTCCATGTACTATCATAACATTCTTTGAGACTCCTGTAATGCATTCAGAACTACAGCAAAAGAGCCAAGCAGTAGCAGTGGGATTTTTTTGTGTTTTTTTTTTTTTTAATGTAAAAATGGTTAGATCCAAACTTTGTTTCCTTCAATTTAAAAAATAAAGAATACCTCAGTGCTGCTTCTCAGTATCACCTGCTTTATGTGGCACAGAACGTGGAAGAGTCACGTTGGGTTTATAGAAAGACTATTAAATGTTTTTAAATCTGTCATTGACATTTTCCTTTCTTTATTCAACACCAGAGCCTAATTGTCTTAGCAGTGTTTACCTTGTAGCTTATATTCTAATCCACTTTCTGTAACTGTATAGAAGGTGCAGTTGGGGGGGGGGGCATGACTTCGGATTTCTTTAAGGTATTTTGTTTTAATTCATGGAAGTTTTTCTGTCCCTCAGTATTAGTTTTTACTGAGTTGGAAAACACCTTAAAAGTTTGCAGAAAAGACTTCATCAACATTTCTGTTGCTTAACAATATTTGGAAGAACAGCTAATGACTAAAAAGTAACTTTCAAATTCCAATAGAGTACTAGGTGTCTTAGCTGGTTCTTCACAATCTCCTCAAATTACAGATTACATTGTGGACATTTGCCATACTCGGTAAACTACATTGTTCTATCATGTTCCACACAGGGAATGCCTGAACATTCTTTAGAGGAATTACTTAACTAATTAATGGCAGTGTTATCATGTTAGACTGGAACACAGGCTGAGAGAAAAGAGCCCCTGCTGTCTGAGAGCACAGTTTAGTCAGAATACACTCGAATGATTACTGAGGGTGTTGTCATCAAGGGAAACTTGACAACCAGACCTGTCTCTGGGCATTGCTTAGAGAAAGAATGAAGTTAAAGAATATGTTGACAACCTTAGCACAAGGGCTCTGGACTAATCTGCATATTAGTTCCTTGAAGGAAATAACAGAACATAAATACAATAAACAGGAAATACTGCTACTACTTGGTAAGTTACAAAGTATTTTGTATAACACACAAGGAAAAACAAGTACTAGTCATACCACTTTTATTTACATTGTATCTATTACATTGTTTATTCAATATAGAAAAAATAGGAATACATTTATAGTATTCTCTTTTTAATTTGGTAAGTCCGCGCGTTGTCAAATATTGACTATTTTTATATTGGGTGTCCCACCCAATTAAAAAAAAATAAAGGGAAAAACGGACCTAGCCAACAACTCTTATGGCATGTTATTAATCCAACAGTAAAACCTTATTTCTCTCTTTAATCCTAATTCCCAAAAGACAAGATAAAACTACTGATTACTGGCTCAGGATTACGGTTTTTAAAAGTAGAAATAATTCATTCTCCCCCCCCCCACAGGAAATGTTTAAGATATACATATAAACACCCCAGTGGTCAGGGAGAAAATATATTTATAAAAGGGTCATGCTGCAAGAATATTCAAGCAGTCTGCCCCACTGCAATGGATGACACATGTCAAAGTAGGGGCTGAAGTGTTAACATAATTAGGCTAGAGAAAAACCCATACTTTCAAGTCAGACTTTCATTTAAAATTTTTTTACAAATAGAATCAATGATTATCTGTTTTGGACCTAATACTTCATTAAATGGGCCAAACTTACAAATTGATACTACAAAATACAGTATTTTCCATTATTTTTAGTTGTGATGTACATACACTATGTACAGAAAGTTGCATATCTTAAGTTGAATACAGGTGAACGGCTTTTTAAAAACCAGAATCGGGACTTATAAATAGTGCAGAAAATGCAAACGCCAAAAACACGATGCCTCCTATGATTGTCACTGGAAAAGAGAGAGAAGATGAGTAAGGCAGCATGTCTTCCACATTATGCAAACAAAACCCTAGTTTCCATTTTTCCACTCTCACAAACTACTCTTGAAGACACTGTCAGTGGCACAACATTCCTCTCATTCTCACTTGATAACCAGACCTTCGTCTGGGCATTGCTTAGACAAAGAATGAAGTTAAATAATGTGTTGGTAAGCAGCAGCTGTACTACAGCAAGTGATCTTAAAAAAACTCAGTATTTATACAAACAGTGGGATAGCTTAGCACGAAGGTGTTGCTGCCAAGCTTGACAGATGAGAACTCAAACCACCTTTAAAAGTTGAAAATGTTCAAGTCTCACACAGGCCTGCCTATCAAACACACTTCAGGCCAAACTTGACACTTACATAAAAGATGAGTTTGGCCATGGTTTAGATCAATTTGTAATTACTAATTTGTACACATGGGAAAAGAAGGCAGTTTGCTAGAACACGTAATGAATACTCAGACCTAAGTGATGAGCATGGAGACCAAGTCATCTCTGAGAGATGATCAAGCTAGCATGCCATTTCTACTGTATCTCTGTGATTTTCAAACATTAGAACTTGTTTGCATTTTAATTTAAAAATGACACCTTACCTGTTCTAACAGATATTTTTTGTGCTATCATCCTTCCTCCAATTACTGCCAATCCAGTGCATAAACAGTGTCCCACTGTTCCACCCACTGCTACACCATAGGGATCCTGGAAGCAGAAGTAGCTAGCATTAATTTGTTGAGTTGGAGATGCTGTCTGAGGAACATTGGTACTTAAGGAGAATTGGAAATGGGTCATGAACCACATAGCATCACAAACACTTGTCAAAATCAAACACTTGTCAAAATCCAGATTTACTCTAACTCTGAAACAGAAAATAGCTATTTCAAGGAATATGAACAGTACAAGGCTATACCTGAATATAGAAATCCTGTCTGGTACAGTATTGCTGTAGTTCTTAAGAGCAGAAATCCTACTAGAATGAACTGGAAAGTATCAAATTGGAGCAATGAACTCTCCCTACTTTAGGGGTGCCTTTTGTGGAAGAGGAACAATAGAGCACTGGATCCATTATAGAGTCAAGGAGGTGCCAGAGAGGGGCCCCTGACAGGAGTTTGTCAGGAAGGGTGGGAGCCCTGATTCCTGTTTGAGAGGT